CCACTTATGAAGATTCAACAGAATGGGTGAGAATCCTTAAATGCACCTATGTGAAATCACAGAAGGGGTGAGATTTTCCTTAACACTAGAAGATCACAATGGGGAGAAAATTCTTAAATGCACTAATGGATTCACAGAATGGTTTGAGATTCCATTTTATGCACTATAAGAAGCACGATGGGTGAGATTTTCTTTAATGCACTAAGAGAATTCCCACAGAAATTGGGTGAGGATTTCCGTAATGCAACTTTAGATCACAGAAGGGTTGAGAATCCGTAATGCACCTTTGAGATCAACAGATTTTGTTGAAGAATTCTTAATGCACTATAGATCCAACAAGAAAATGGCCGAGATTCCTTAATGCACTATGAATCAAAAACCAAGAATGGGTTGAATTCCTTTATGCCACTAAGGAGAGCACAGAACTGGGAGAGATTCTTAATGCCCATATGAAGGTCCGCAGGAAAATGGTTGAGATTCTAAAATGCACTTAGTAATTACGTATGGGTGAGGGTTTGAACCCATGGTAAGTGAATCCTAATTTCATATACCGTTTTGGGATCAAGAAAACAAAAATTTTGAAAGGAATCACAGTGATGGCTCCTACCATGTGAATAAAAATGAATGTAAAAGTACACCTCAAATATAACCATATAAAAAGATAATAGGAAAACACAGCAATAGAAAATTGTTCCTTCGGGTTAGACCCCCGAAAATGTTTTACCTAAAGTCCCTTCTCACATTGTGGTGTTTTTGAATTAAAATGAATTATATCCCCAGGACATAATAGTGTGGACTTGCAATATTTCAGAAAGGAATTAAATAGGAAAAAAATTTAAAGCTTTTTCAAACCCTCACGAAACGGTTGGGGTTAGAAACCCATGATCAGAGTCCATAAATACGAATTTAAATTTAACCTCGATCACAATACTACACTCCATTGGTTTTTTTTTTTCTATATTTTTTTTCATTGGATTTAGAAGCGCAATGTAGTAAAAAGTTTTTATAGCAACTAAAATTACAAGTGGAACCCTAGGTTGTTTTTGTAGGATTCGGCAATTCGATGACATTTTTTTTTCCGTATTAAGTTTTTCCGCAGTTTTTTTTTTTCGTACATCCACTCATTTTTTTAGTAAAGTTGACATGGGTCCCCCCCTGTATAACCAAATGCGTCGCCCTCCCATGACCACACAGACATCCCACACTTGTCTTAACTCAGTCTGGCTTTTTTTTTTCTGTTGAGTGAACATCACCCAACCCCCCACGTGTATTCGGATACTTTTTTAGCTAAAATAACCCCCCCCTTTTTTTTCCCCTTTTTTGTTTTTTTTTTTTGTGGCTTTTTTTTTTAGTGAAGTGCAACTGCTAAAATAAGCCACCATGGGGGCCCAAAAAGTTCCCAATCAGCCCTTTTTGGGAATTTTTTAAAAAAAAAAAAAAGAATATGGGGCCCCCCCCGAGAAAAAAACCAAAAAAAAAAAAACCCACGATAGAATTCAAGAAAGAGCTCATTACAAAGTCAAACAAATAGTGGCAAAAAGTGGGAAATATAGTGTAACGAAAAGTGGACCCAAACAGCGATGAAAATAATTGCTTGAGAAGTTGGAGGAGAGAGAGGAATAGAAGTTGCCTTTCTTTCAGTTGAGTAAAGACTGGTGTAACAACAGTGGAATGAGGTGTTTTGGCACAGTTTGTTTTTGTGGAGAAATTTCGCACCTAACAAAGATTGTTTTGCAAAGCCCAATGTCCTAACAATACGTTTATTTCAAATACAATCCTTGTCCCAAATTTGGCAAATCTTGATCGCATAAAGAGACCTCCGCTGGAACAATTTTCTGTGGGGCGACAGGGTTTCCCCCCAAGTGACATCTCAAGCCCTGCCTAGTTGCCAAGTAAATAAAAGAAAAGAAAGGACGAACCCCTGAATTAGGGCCCTTGATACCTGAAAGTCCCCTTTTATGGAGGGGAATTTCCCCTTCCAAAACAAATAAACCACTCCGCCTCCCTCTCCCCCTCTTTTGTCCCCCATCTTCCTATATATACCAAACCAAGAGTCCTCAAAAAAAAGGCAAAAAGTGAATTGTACAATGTTTTATTTTCACCTTTTTCATTATCCCTTTTTAATATTTAGTTATCATTTTGATTTTTTTTCTCGTGTAAAACTAATAGTTATTTTCAACTATAAATGGGATTATTTTGTTAATATTTTTGGGTTGTCTGGAATGATTAAATGGATTTACCAGTATTCTTATGGGAAATTAATTGCCCTAGTCAGTTTTTATTTTTCGTACATTCGTTTTTTCCATCAGACATTTCCTGAAATGCATTTATCAACGAAAAAAACCTAAAGTTAATTACGCCAAAATGTTTTTTTTTTTTTGAAGGCAAGCCCCCATTTAGGAGCCAGGACGCATATTTTTTATTTAAATTAACAACAATCAAGTTCCATTCCGGAGGTTTCCCTCACTGAATCCTATTAATACAGTGTAAAACTATCCTGTTATTTTGATAGGAATTTAGTCCCTAATAAGTCTAGGAGATAAATTTTTGAAAGTGTTTGGATCTTTTTGAATAATTTTTTTCAGATGGTGATGAAGTGGGAGAAAAATCGAGGGCCCAGGAGATTGGGTCGAGAGGCTGGAAAAAACAAGAATGAACCTCGACTGAAAATTAACAGTGATTGTTCAATACGAGGGGGAAGGGTTTTTTTTCACCAGATATTTCAAACCCATGGAAAAATTGGTACAAAGGGAAGCAATTAGGGCACAAAGAAATTCTATTTCTTGGCAGACTAATTGTGGACATTTGGCCAAGCATATGATTCCTATTCGTTCAACCCACCATAAACAAATCAAGCCCAAAAAAGCAGAAAGTAAAGGTTATGAGAGTTTTAAAACATAACAGACGCCCCCGAACACACAACAAGGCTTACGTTTTATCAAAGCTTTTTTTTTTCTAACTTATTGATCAAAGTTACGTTTTTTTCCCCATTTTTTCTATTACGATTATAATTCTTGTTCAATATTATTATCAATAATTCTCCTCCCTGTGCCCTTGTTGCCTTGTAAACTTAGACAATACTGGTACATAATCAGTAATGTTGACGCTCCTGAATACCAAAAGCATAAACTGTAATATAAAAACGTGTCTTATATTTTAATAATTGGTACAAAAACTTAGGTAATTGGTTGAAAGAAAATACGAAAGGTTGTGGTGGGGCCTACTGGGGGAGAGTTACCCCGTCAACCTTCGTTACACTTCGTCATTTCAAATTGCCTTTTTCAGTTCCAGGGTTTCATAAGCCTGGGTTTCTTCAACATCCCTTAAGGCCCTTTTGAAGGTTGTGATAGGCACTGGTTTGGGAAGAACAATTTTCCTAAGGAAGTTTTGGCACCTAATTTTTTCTTTTCTCAACGGATAAAAGATGGTCCAAGGAATAGAATAGTTTAACATCCATTGAAAATCCTTGGAGGAATCCTCTTCGAACATTGGGGCCTGGAAAGCTCAAACAAAAACGAGACCTCTCTCTATAAATGAAAGAAAATGCCCCTCGGCCATCATTTTTGTCTTCATCAAACTTTTTTAGAAGGAACAGTTTTTTCTTGTTTTCTCTCTTTGCTCCTTCCCTTACACTGCATCTCTTTTTCCACTTCCAATCATATTCTTCATTCATCAAGCTCAATTTGGTGGACCTCAAACACGCTCCCTCAAGTCCTTCTTCCTCTAATCCCTGGAAGGATGCTTTTTTTTAAGGCCACCCGTGCCGTGTTTACCACTAACAGTGTGTTTAACCAAACCGTTTGAAACTTCAGTGGCCTGCTTCGGCGTGGTTGCGACAAAAACAATTGGTACTATGCAGAAAAGGGCAACGGAAACTCAAATTCGGATTTGCAGAAGTTTTGGTAAAAAACTTTAAAGCTAACTCAGCAGTCCCTGTTCGTATGTCCCAAATGTTTGTAACTCTCAAATGTTTTCGTAAATTAGGTAGCATCTGTACTGACACATTATTGTTACATTAATAATAAAAATCATTAAATTATTATCATGTCCCGTAATCTTTTAAACCTAAAAAGCCTATAGCATTTTTTCAAGGTGGAAAATATAGGATTTCAGACATTCAATAATTAACGTAAAGAATTATCTAATCCTTTCAATTTAAAAGCTACAACTTTTTTCAATAAATTTGTTTTGAACCTGTGTAACCTCAAACTCCTACTGCTTTACATCCCTTTCTGCTTGTAAATTGGACTGAATTTGAAGCCACTGTTGTTACAACGTTTATTTCTTTTTAATGAAAGATTCCCGTAGGGTGCATGAGTGGGTCCACCTCGCCCCCTTTATGTAATAGACGATGTTAATCCAAAAAGCTCCCCCCCCCTCCAGTTTCCTTCAACCCTATGAAGAACGATAGTTTATTTTTTTGAGGGTTGGTTCAATCCCCATCCTCCAGGTTGGGATTTGGCAATCAGTTTTGGTGGGCCCCAGCGTAACACCCTGGTTGAAATCAGTCCTTAAATCCATCACAACGGGCCCCTGGTTTGGGGTCCGAGCCACCAGGCCAATTTGACCTCCCAAAACACTCTCCGGAATACCCCTTAAGGGTGGTGGTTTTTTAAGTTTAATAAGCCTAACAACAGCCTGACATTGGGTTTAATCCCTTGGTTTTATTAACGCCTTCTGTGTTAATAATTCCATTCCAAAAATCTTTACAGTGATGTATATTTCAATTTAACCATTATTATAATTTTTTAATTGAAAAGGCTCCGGAATAAATCTGATACCATTTTACTTCATTATATACAGTGGACCCTCTGTTCTCGGCCATAAACTGTTTCCCTGAAGGGTTTTGTCCCCCAAAACCAAAAATGATAATTTCCAGTAAGAAAAATTAATGTAAATACAATTTAATCCATTTTCCTAACACCCCAAAAAATTAATAAAAATAAATACTTTTTTTTTTTTAAAGACGAATTGAAATAGTTTTTTACATAAACAATACACAGTAATGGCGGAGAAGAAGATTGAAACTGTTATGCAGGAACCTATAGTAAGTGCTGTGTTGTAATGTGCTTGATGGAATGTTTCAATGTTCTGTCCCCTCTGTGTTTGATGGAATATTTCAAATGTTCTGTCTCCTCTTTTCATTATATTCTGTATTGGAGCCTTTCATCTTACTTTTTGGGAAAACTGTTGGAATCTCTTGATCCAGGGAATTGCAGCTACCCTCCCTTTCCTTGGATCAAACCTCATTACTTCCCTTTCCCAAGACATTGTACAACTCCTATGGGTTTAGCACTTTCCCATGAATATACAGTGGACCTCTTCCTTACAATATTAATCCGTTCCTGAGAGCTCATCGTAAGCCGAAATTATCGTTAGCCGAATTAATTTTCCCCATAAGAAATAATGGAAATCAAATTAATCCATTCCTGACACCCCAAAGTATGAAAAAAAACATTTTTACCACATGAAATATTAATTTTAATACACACAAACTGAAGAAGACATGCACAGTTACTACTCTACTAAGAATAGAATGCATGACACTTACCTTTATGGAAGATCTGGTGATGATTGATGGGATGGGAGGAGGGGAGAGTGTGGAAGTTATTGTTTAGAAGGGGAATCCCCTTCCATTAGGACTTGAGGTAGCAAGTCCTAATGGAAGGGTTATTGATTTGATTATTGATTTTTTTTTCAACCTAAAGGCCATCTCCCACTGAGGCAGGGTGACCCAAAAAACAAGACACAGTTTTTCTTCTCTTTCCATTTAGTAATTTATACAAGAGAAGAGATTACTAGCCTCTTGCTCCCGGCATTTTAGTCACCTCTTATGACACGCATGGCTTGTGGAGGAAAGATTCTAATCCACTTCCACATGAAGATTATTGATTATTATTATTATTATTATTTTTTTTTTTTAACAAGTCGGCCATCTCCTACCGAGGCAGGGTGACCCAAAAAGAAAGAAAATCGCCTAAAAAAAAATACTTTCAATCATCACTCAACACTTTCACCTCACTCACACATAATCACTGTTTTTGCAGAGGTGCCCAGAATACAACAGTTTAGAAGTATATACGTATAAAAATACACAATACAGTGGACCCCCGCCTTACGATCAGCTCCCAACTCGACCAGTTATGTAAGTGTATTTTTGTAAGTGCTTTTGCACGTGTATTTTGGGAGTCTGAAACGGACTAATCTAATTCACAATATTCCTTATGGGAACAAATTCGGTCTATAACGGCACCCAAACAGACTTCTGGAATGAAATAATATCGTAAGGCGGGGGTCCACTGTATATACCTCCAAACTGCCACTATCCCAAACCCCTCCTTTAGAGTGCAGGCATTGTACTTCCCATTTCCAGGACTCAAGTCCGGTTATATAAAATAACCGGTTTCCCTGAATTCCTTCACTAAATATTACCCTGCTCACACTCCAACAGATCGTCAGGTCCCAAATACCATTTGTCTCCATTCACTCCTATCGAACACGCTCATGCATGCCTCCTGGAAGTCCAGGCCCCTTGCCCACAAAACCTCCCTTACCCCTTCCTTCCAACCTTTTCGAGGACAACCCCTACCCTGCCTTCCTTCTCCTACAGATTTAAATGCTCTCCGATGTCATTCTACTTTGATCCATTCTCTCTAAATGACCAAACCACCTCAACAACCCCTCTTCAGCCCTCTGACTAATACTTTTATTAACTCCACACCTTCTCCTAATTTCCACACTCCAAATTTTCTGCATAATATTTAAACCACACATTGCCCTTAGACAGGACATCTCCACTGCCTCCAACCACCTCCTCGCTGCTGCACTCACAACCCAAGCTTCACACTCATATAAGAGTGTTGGTACTACTATACTTTCATACATTCCCTTCTTTGCCTCCATAGATAACGTATTTTTGTCTCCACATATACCTCAACGCACCACTCGCCTTTTTTCCCTCATCAATTCTATGATTAACCTCGTCCTTCATAAATCCATCCGCCGACACATCAACTCCCAAGTATCTGAAAACATTCACTTCTTCCATACTCCTCCTCCCCAATTTGATATCTAATTTTTCTTTATCTAAATCATTTGATACCCTCATCACCTTACTCTTGTCTATGTTCGCTTTCAACTTCTTACCTTTACACACACTCCCAAACTCATCCACTAACCTTTGCAACTTTTCTTTAGAATCTCCCATAAGCTCGGTATCATCAGTAAAAAGCAACTGTGTCAATTTCCATTTTGTATTTGATTCCCCATAATTTAATCCCACCCCTCTCCCGAACACCCTAACATTTACTTCTTTTACAACTCCATCTATAAATATATTAAACAACCATGGTGACATTACACATCCCTGTCTAAGACCTACTTTTACCGGGAAGTAGTCTCCCTCTCCTACACACCCTAACCTGAGCCTCACTATCCTCATAAAAACTCTCTACCGCATTTAGTAACTTACCACCTATTCCATATACTTGCAACATTATTGTTATTATTATTTTAAAACACATGATGTTACTATCTACTTTCTAATACTTGTTGAGCTTGCTCTGGGTTAGTCCTCACTTTACCCTCCACTGCATTTCTGAAAATAAAAGTGCCTTTAGCCTTGTTGAATACTTTTATTTGTCATGGGTTGTATTTTAAAACTGTTTTGTCTGTTTATTCTTGTTACACTAGGAACGTAGCCTGTCCAAGAGTCTGCAGCGTGGAGAAGATGCTACCTTTGATCAGTTGCTGCTTGCCTTTGGTTGTGTTGCAGAGCACTGTTTACCTTCACTCCTGCACACACTTTTTGCCTGGTATGATCGTCAGGGAGTGGAATGGGGTTCAACTGACAGCAAATACAAGCAGGATCCCAGCAAAAGCAAGGGGTGAGATAGTTTTATCAATTATAAATCAAATTTCAGGTTTGGTAGACATGCCTTGCACAATATTTTCCAAGTAAAATAAATGATTAATATTTTGAAATTGTCATTACAGGGTAGATGCAGGCTCTAATGTAGACAGAGAAACCATACAGGAACGTAGAGATCTTGCAGTCGAGTTTATATTCTGCTTAGTGTTAATAGAGGTTTTGCGACAGCTGGCGGTGCACCCAGGTCACGATGATCTTGTGCGACACATTGAAGATATTGCATTCAAGCACTTCAAGTACAGAGAAGGGTAAGTAATCACTGCTAGTATTTAAAGGGTAAGCAATCAATGCTAGTATTTCAAGGGCAAGTAATCACTGTGTTTTCAAGGGTAAGTAATCACTGCTAGTATTTCAAGGGTAAGTAATCACTGCTAGTATTTCAAGAGTGAGTAATCACTGCTAGTATTTCAAGGGTGAGTAATCACTGTTAGTATTTCAAGGGTAAGTTTATCATGTTACTTCAGATCTCTCTGATTTTAGTGGATGACCCCTGAATCCTGCACACATTTCATAGACTTTAGTTGACGAATGGAAGATAGGAGGGTGAGTAGCCATCCCAGGAATGGTTTAAGGAAATGGAGTGCAAGAGGCTTTTAAGTCTTAGGGGCTTGAGCATCCAGAAGGCTTGTGTGTGTGTATCAGATAGGAGTGAATGTGGACAAAAGGTTTTTAATGGATGTGCTGTTGGAGTGTGAACAGGGTAACTTGTATGAACAGATTCACAGAAACTGGTTAGCTGGACTTTGAGTCCTGGAGTTGGAATAGGCAGTGCCTGCACTCTGAAGGAGGGGTGAGGATGTTGCAGTCAGATGAGTACTGTAATCTGATTTTGATGTCAGCACACCTGTACAAAGATAGCAATTGAGTGAATGTTGGTGAATGTGTTTTCTTCTTTGGATCATCCTTCCTTGTGAGAGACAGCCATTGAGTTAAGGAAATTATATATTAATGACTCCCTCTTATACAGTAAGAGGGTTTCGGGGGTCAATGCCCCTGCGGCTTGGTTTGAGACCAGGCCTCATGGTGGATCAGGGTCTGATCAACCAGGCTGTTACTGTTAGCTGCATGTAAACCAATGTACAAATCACAGCCCAGCGGATCAGGTACTGACTTTAGGTGTCTCTCCAGCGCCTTCTCGAAGACAGCCAGGGGTCTATTGGTAATCCCCCTTATGTATGCTGGGAGGCAGTTGAACAGTCTTGGGCCTCTGACACTTATTGTGTTGTCTCTCAGTGTAATTGTGGCACCCCTGCTTCTCGTTGGGGGAATGTTGCATCCCTACCGAGTCTTTTGCTTTCATAGCGGGTGATTTTCACGTGCAAGTTTGGCACAGTAGTTGCAGTGTAAATCTGCATAAGCTTTTTTTTCTGTAATTGCTCCTTTCCACCTCCTTTTACCATAATTTTATTTTATACATACTGAACATATATATGAATACATATATGGATATAGTAAATCATTGTAATTTATGTAAATTCGGATGTTATGTAGTGCTTATGGCCAATATTTTCTAATGTTTTGATCCCAACACAGAATTGAAGGCATACTAATGAAATAGCTAAGAATGTGGTCAAGATTGAATAGTGAAATTGCCTTAAAACTGGACTCAGAGTGAACAAAATCGCCGTTGCATAAATTATGCCACACGCTAACACTGTACCTGCATAATTCCATAAGTTTTCGATCAAATTTAATTTTTTTTTGGTGTCATTACCTTCAGAAAAAGATTCTCTACACTTATCGATTTTTTTTTTATGCCGACATTGTCAGCATTTTAATTTTGAGGCTTCCATAGTAAAGGAGTTTAAATCTTATTAATTATAATACAACTTCCATTTAATCTTTGTTTACACATTCTAATAATGGTTAGGATTACAGACAGAGATCTAGCCTATATTTTTTTTAACACATCGACTGTCTCCCACTGAGGCAGGGTGACCCCGAAAAGAAGACACATCAAGGTTTTCTTCTTCTTACATTTAGTAATTTATTCAGGAGAAGGGGTTAAGAAATAGCATATGCGATAAATTAATAAAATGATAGTATATATCTTTAAGCCCAAAGTTAAATATTATTTACATTGTTATAGGTTAGTGTTGTACATTTAAAAAACACCGAAATACAGTGGACCCCCGCTTAATGATCACCTCCCAGTGCGACCAATTATGTAAGTGCGTTTGTATGTGTATGTTTGGGGGTCTGAAATGGACTAATCTACTTCACAATATTCCTTATGGAACAAATTCGGTCAGTACTGGCACCTGAACATAATTTTGGAATGAAAAAATATCGTTAACCGGGGGTCCACTGTATTATAAAATTACTTATACATGTATTTTAGTGTTATATGGTATATATGTATATATTGTTTCCTCAGAGTTCAAAATAACCCCAATGGTGAGAACATCAATATCATTGCTGATTTGTATGCTGAAGTTATTGGCGTTTTGGCTCAGTCGCGCTTTCAATCTGTCCGGAGACGTTTCATGGCAGAATTAAAAGAGCTGCGGGCAAGAGAGGCATCGTCGGTTACAACACAAAGCATCACATCACTCTTGATGGGAATGAAATTCTTCAGGGTTAAGGTGTGTTCCCAAGAATTTATGCAAGCACTCTTCTGACTAGTTTTGAACACTGTAGTGTTCAAAACTAGTCATTTATTTTTAATTCTTTGCAGACCATTAAGTATAATGGCCTGCATAGTATGCTAAATAAATAAGTAAATAAATAACTACTATCACTGAATAAATAAATAAATAAATAAATACTGCTCTTTACTGGGCAGGCCATTTAACCCTTAAACTGTCCAAACGTAGATCTGCGTTCACGTGCGTAGTGCTCCGACCTTGATTTTCCCCATTTGAAAGCATGTAAAAAAAAAATAGATCTACATTTGGAGCCCCCACACGTGGACATAGATCTACGTTTGGACAGTTTAAGGGTTAAGTTCATTTTACTTACTTGAAGAAAATAAAATGGGTTTTTCTGTTGTCACCTGATTTTTTTTTTTTTTTTTTCAACAAGTCGGCCGTCTCCCACCGAGGCAGGGTGACCCAAAAAAGAAAATACTTTCATCATCATTCAACACTTTCACCACACTCACACATTATCACTGTTTTTGCAGAGGTGCTCAGAATGCAACAGTTTAGAAGCATATACATATAAAGATACACAACATATCCTTCCAAACTGCCAATATCCCAAACCCCTCCTTTAAAGTGCAGGCATTGTACTTCCCATTTCCAGGACTCAAGTCCGACTATATGAAAATAACCGGTTTCCCTGAATCCCTTCACTAAATATTACCCTGCTCACACTCCAACAGATCGTCAGGTCCCAAGTATCATTCGTCTCCATTCACTCCTATCTAACACGCTCACGCATGCTTGCTGGAAGTCCAAGCCCCTAGCCCACAAAACCTCCTTTACCCCCTCTCTCCAACCCTTTCGAGGACGACCCCTACCCCGCCTTCCTTCCCCTATAGATTTATATGCTTTCCATGTCATTCTACTTTGATCCATTCTCTCTAAATGACCAAACCACCTCAACAACCCCTCTTCTGCCCTCTGACTAATACTTTTATTAACTCCACACCTTTTCCTAATTTCCACACTCCGAATTTTTTGCATAATATTTACACCACACATTGCCCTTAAATAGGACATATCCACTGCCTCTAACCGTCTCCTCGCTGCTGCATTTACTACCCAAGCTTCACACCCATATAAGAGTGTTGGTACTACTATACTTTCATACATTCCCTTCTTTGCCTCCATAGATAATGTTTTTTGACTCCACATATACCTCAACGCACCACTCACCTTCTTTCCCTCATCAATTCTATGATTTACCTCATCCTTCATAAATCCATCCGCCGACACGTCAACTCCCAAGTATCTGAAAACATTCACTTCTTCCATACTCCTCCTCCCCAATTTGATATCCAATTTTTCTTTATCTAAATCATTTGATACCCTCATCACCTTACTCTTTTCTATGTTCACTTTCAACTTTCTACCATTACACACATTCCCAAACTCATCCACTAACCTCTGCAATTTTTCTTTAGAATTTCCCATAAGTACAGTATCATCAGCATAAAGTAACTGTGTCAATTCCCATTTTGAATTTGATTCCCCAAAATTTAATCCCACCCCTCTCCCGAACACCCTAGCATTTACTTCCTTTACAACCCCATCTATAAATATATTAAACAACCATGGTGACATTACACATCCCTGTCTAAGACCTACTTTTACCGGGAAGTAGTCTCCCTCTCTTCTACACACCCTAACCTGAGCCTCACTATCCTCATAAAAACTCTTCAGAGCATTTAATAACTTACCACCTATTCCATATACAGTGGACCCCCGGTTAACGATATTTATTCACTCCAGAAGTATGTTCAGGTGCCAGTACTGACCGAATTTGTTCCCATAAGAAATATTGTGAAGTAGATTAGTCCATTTCAGACCCCCAAACATACATGTACAAACGCACTTACATAAATACACTTACATAATTGGTCGCATTCGGAGGTAATCGTTATGCAGGGGTCCACTGTACTTGCAACATCTGCCCCATTGCTCCTCTATCCACTCTATCATATGCCTTTTCTAAATCCATAAATGCAATAAAAACTTCCCTACCTTTATCTAAATACTGTTCACATATATGCTTCAATGTAAACACTTGATCTACACATCCCCTACCCACTCTGAAACCTCTTGCTCATCCGCAATCCTACATTCTGTCTTACCTCTAATTCTTTCAATTATAACCCTACCGTACACTTTTCCTGGTATACTCAGTAAACTTATTCCTCTATAATTTTTACAATCTCTTTTGTCCCCTTTCCCTTTATATAAAGGGACTATACATGCTCTCCACCTATCCCTAGGTACCTTCCCCTCTTTCATACATTTATTAAACAAAAGTACCAACCACTCCAACACTATATCCTCCCCTGCTTTTAACATTTCTGTCATGATCCCATCAGTTCCAGCTGCTTTACCCCCTTTCATTCTACGTAATGCCTCGCGTACCTCCCCCACACTTACATTCTGCTCTTCTTCACTCCTAAAAGATGGTATACCTCCCTGACCAGTGCATGAAATTACCACCTCTCTTTCTTCCTTAACATTTAAAAGTTCCTCAAAATATTCTCGCCATCTACCTAATACCTCCGTCTCCCCATCTACTAACTCCCCTACTCTGTTTTTAACTGACAAATCCATACTTTCCCTAGGCTTTCTTAACTTTTTTAATTCCAAAATTTTTTCTTATTTTCATTAAAATTTCTTGACAGTGCCTCTCCCACTCTATCATCTGCTCTCCTTTTGCACTCTCTCACCACTCTCTCCACCTTTCTTTTACTCTCCATATACTCTGCTCTTCTTATAACACTTCTGCTTTGTAAAAACCTCTCATAAGCTACCTTTTTCTCTTTTATCACACCCTTTACTTCATCATTCCACCAATCACTCTTCTTTCTTCCTGCCCCCACCCTCCTATAACCACAAACTTCTGCCCCACATTCTAATACTGCATTTTTAAAACTATTCCAACCCTCTTCAACCCCCCCACTACTCATCTTTGCACTAGCCCACCTTTCTGCCAATAGTCGCTTATATCTCACCCAAACTTCCTCCTCCCTTAGTTTATACACTTTCACCTCCCTCTTACTTGTTGTTGCCACCTTCCTCTTTTCCCATCTACCTCTTACTCTAACTGTAGCTACAACTAAATAATGATCCAATATATCAGTTGCCCCTCTATACACATGTACATCCTGGAGCCTACCCATCAACCTTTTATCCACCAATACATAATCTAATAAACTACTTTCATTACGTGCTACATCATACTTTGTATATTTATTTATCCTCTTTTTCATAAAATATGTATTACTTATTACCAAATTTCTTTCTACACATAGCTCAATTAAAGGCTCCCATTTACATTTACCCCTGGCACCCCAAATTTACCTACTACTCCCTCCATAACATTTTTACCCACTTTAGCATTGAAATCCCCAACCACCATTACTCTCACACTTGATTCAAAACTCCCCACGCATTCACTCAACATTTCCCAAAATCTCTCTCTCTCTCCTCTACACTTCTCTCTTCTCCAGGTGCATACACGCTTATTATAACCCACTTTTCACATCCAATCTTTATTTTACTCCACATAATCCTTGAATTAATACATTTATAGTCCCTCTTTTCCTGCCATAGCTTATCCTTCAACATATTGCTACTCCTTCTTTAGCTCTAACTCTATTTGAGACCCCTGACCTAATCCCATTTATTCCTCTCCATTGAAACTCTCCCACCCCCTTCAGCTTTGTTTCACTTAAAGCCAGGACATCCAGCTTCTTCTCATTCATAACATCCACAATCATCTCTTTCTTATCATCTGCACAACATCCACGCACATTCAGACTTCCCACTTTGACAATTTTCTTCTTCTTATTCTTTTTAGTAATCTTTACAGGAAAAGGGGTTACTAGCCCATTGTTCCCGGCATTTTAGTTGACTTTTACAACACGCATGGCTTACGGAGGAAAGATTCTTATTCCACTTCCCCATGGATACAAAAGGAAAAGTAATAAGACCAAGAACTATTAAGATAAAATCAAAGAAAACTCAGATGAGTGTGTATAAATAAACGTGTACATGTATGTGTAGTGTAACCTAAGTGTAAGTAGAAGTAACTAAGTAGAAGTGTCACCAGATATAGATACTAAATTGACACTGTTTATTCTTGCATATTTGTTGAGCATCACACTAACATGAAACAAATAATTGAATAAGATGAAGAATTAAACACATGAAACATCTGAGTGTCTTTATTTGTAGATGTTTTGCCATCCAGTGACTATGAATACAATTCAAGGATATGTCCATGTATTGTATTGGCAAAGATAAGCATGCATCTGGCAAGACAGTGATGGAGTGAATGATGATTAAAGTTTTTCTTTTTCGGGCCACCCTGCCTTGGTGGGAAACAGCAAATGTTTTAATAAAAAAAAAATCCAGATGTTGCACATGTATCTAATTCTTCATCAAATAATTGAACTTAAAGAGAGTTGGAAGGATTTAAACTCATATCCAGAAGGTTTTCCAGCTCTTTGGATTAAAGTTTGGATTCCATTAATACAGATTGTAATCCTTAAAACTTGAATTATCTCCAGGTACTAGAGGTACTCCATAATTCAGTAGTAGAATAGTTTGCTTAAAATTGAAAAGACCAGGTTCACAATCCAGGCTTGGTGAAATACAGTGGACCCCCTCATAACGATCACCTCCGAATGCGACCAATTATGTAAGTGTATTTATGTAAGTGCGTTTGTACGTGTATGTTTGGGGGTCTGAAATGGACTAATCTACTTCACAATATTCCTTATGGAACAAATTCGGTCAGTACTGGCACCTGAACATACTTCTGGAGTGAAAAAATATCGTTAACCGGGGGTCCACTGTATATGGCTAAGTCTCCTAACACGTGTTGCCCCTATTCACCTAGTTCACGCAGTCCGTCTCCTCGATCATAACAGTAATGGGCAATTCTGGATTTAACAGACTTTGCCATTAAATCTGAAATGAATTTATGCAGCAGACTGTAAGAATAAAGGGAAAACTCTGAATTAACAGACTTTGTCCAATGCTTCTGAATGTTGTCCATCCACAGATTTTGTCCATTAAACCAAAAATCTGTTAAATCAGGGCCCATTAAATTGAAATTTTACTGATAATTGTAAGATCTTAAATTGTAATAAAATTCTGTTTCTACAGATGGTCCCAATTGAAGAGTTTGAAGCTTCATTCCAGTTTATGCAAGAATGTGCACAATACTTCCTAGAAGTACGAGACAAGGACATCAAACATGCCCTGGCTGGACTCTTCGTAGAAATTTTAGTTCCAGTTGCTGCAGTAAGTTTGTGCTTCTTACTTTTTGGATCATGTGCCATTATTAAGGATAATGAAAAGTAAATGTTTAAATGTTGATGAAAATGAAGAAGAATGTGTATACAGGTGCTCCTTGACTTATGATGGGGTTATGTTCCGACAAACTTGTCATAAGGCAAAAATCTTGTAATTTGAATATAAATATAAGCTAAATAAATAAGTAAATAAATAGCTACTGTCACTGAATAGGTAAATGAACAAATAATTACTGTAAGTAAATACCCATATTGAAAAGTAAATAAATGAATACAAAAGCAAGTGATAATGTGTGAGTGAGGTGAAAGTGTTGAATGATGATGAAAGTATTTTCTTTTTGGGGATTTTCTTTCTTTTTTGGGTCACCCTGCCTCGGTGGGAGACGACCGACTTGTTGAGAAAAAAAAAAAAGAAGTTACAGACTTGCTGCCTTTATACTGGGTAATTACCTTAAGTTTCATCCCCAAAGTAATTGCTTTTGCATCATCGTAAAGTTGAAATATCGTTAATTGAAATATCGTTAGTCGAAGCATCATAAGTCAAGGAGCATCTGTATAAGTTTTAAGGTACGTCATGTTTAAGTGATATTAATGAATAACAACATTTAACAGTATAGAAATCGCACAGGAGATGTTTATTGAAAGACAATATTTTATAGACGGTGAATGATCACAGGAGGGAATTTTGTAATTGGTCTCTCATTTCTCACCTAGGGAGGGTGACCCCCTCCCGTCTCTCCCCTCACTCACCAGCTGTAGCCTTTCCCCTTTTTCAGACTGTGAAAAATGAAGTGAATGTTCCCTGTCTGAAATACTTTGTTGAGATGCTGTACTCAACAACGCTTGATATGGCAACAAAAAACAAACACCGCCTTGCCATATTTCCCCTCGTGACCTGTTTGCTGTGCGTGTCACAGAAAACATTTTTCCTTAGCAACTGGCATTACTTCCTTGCCATGTGTCTTCAGCACCTTAAAAACCGGGACCCAAAGATGTCTCGTGTTGCTCTAGGTGAGTACACTGCTGTACATATTACCATGGCTGGGTGTGCTCTGAGTAGGTATTGGTGTGGCTGAGTGTGCTCTGAATAGGTATTAGTATGGCTGGATGTGCTCAGTAGGTATTAATATGGCTGGGTGTGCTCTGAGTAGGTTTTAGCATAGCTGGGTGTGCTCTGAATTTGTTTTAACAATGCAGGCAAATTTGCAGTATAGAGGTAAATTGAATATTTCTGCCTCCATGAGAGGCCCTCTTCAGCAGACAAGTGTGAGGGAAAAGGTAGGTGCTTTATCACAAATTTGTGTATACAGTATATTGATATATAGTAATTGCTATGTGCTCATTGAATGTAATTTTCTTGCTCTGCAGAATCGTTATATCGACTGCTGTGGGTGTACATGATACGTATCAAGTGCGAGAGTAACTCTGCCACACATTCCCGCCTGGCCAGCATTGTAAATTCTCTTTTTCCCAAGGGCTCCAAGGCTGTTGTTCCAAGAGATACCCCACTAAATATTTTTGTGAAAATCATCCAGTTTATTGCACAGGTTTGTTTTCAGTTTTCTGTTCGATATATGCTTGAATGTTTTGGTGGAAAATATTGGCGACTGAAAAAATTTTACAGTAGTTAATTTTTACTTAAATAAGACATAGGTGAAAAACATCTCTTGAAGCTTATAGGGACAGCAGTGTGTTCTTGAAACATTGCAGTGACCTCCTGAGCACCATCAGGAATATCAACATTTAAAATGATAACTTGGGAAATTTGGATGTTGTGTTCCTTTTCATAAGGTATCTACTGTCCAGGCCACCAACCTCTCTTTCCTTCCTTAGTTGATATAATGGAAAGCATACTAGTGAAATAGCCAGGAATTAGGCCAGGTTGAGCAATGGAATTGGCCAAAAATAGGCCTCAAAGTGAGTGAAATCAAATTCATAAATGGCACCCAGACTGTCAGCCTTACACTTGCCTAATTTCATAAGCTTTCCATCACTTTCTACATTTTTGGTGTAATTACCTTCAAAACAAGATTCTCTTCCATTTCAGATTTTTTTTTTTTGTGGGGGAGGAATTGTGACATTGTCAGTACTTTTAATTTCAGGGAGTCACTGAAATGTTGAAGTTAAAATGTTGTATAATCAAAGCATATGAATTAGAAAGCCCATGAATTTTGGAGTTTGGCTCTAAATATATGGTGATCATTTTGAGAGATGCATTGTGGTTCAAGGTTAACAGGCCTTATATATAAGCAAACAATAATTATTGCCAATGTAGTTTTAAGTTAGGTTTAAGCTTGCCTGAAATGCCCTGCATAACTATGGGCTTTATGCATGCACAACCAAATGTTACCCCTCTATGTACAAACATTTTATCATGTAGAATTGAATCTCTGACTTTAAAACTTAGACTATTTGTAATACATAATGCCAATGGCTAGGTCTGTAGCATATGCTTAGTGAAAAAGTCACTTGTGTTACATGGGAATGGTTGATATTGTTCATTGACTTCTCGACAGGAGCGGCTAGACTTTGCCATGCGGGAGATTGTATTTGACTTGCTCTCTGTTGGGCGTCAAATCAAGATCATCATGACTCCCGAGAGAATGTCAATAGGCCTTCGAGCGTTCTTGGTTGTAGCTGACAGTCTGCAGCAGAAGGAGGGTGACCCTCCTATGCCTCGTACAGTTGGTGTTCTACCCTCTGGCAACACTCTGAGAGTAAAGAAAACATTTCTGAATAAGGTAAGTGTTATGTTGACACTAGTTATTCAAGTGAATTACAGGATGAGGAATGTAAGGCATACAAGGTTGATGTCAGCACTTACAGGTGGGTGCTGCTTTACAGCACTTTATAGTGTTTTGCTAATGCAGCAGTTTTCAGTTATACCCATTCTTCATTTATTCAGACTTCCTACAATAAATATATTCACCACTCATTATATGCTAGGGATGAAAATATTTTAAGGTAAGTAATGTGGGTTAGGGGAGTAGGTTGGTAGACAGGAATTGCCCAGGGAGGTACTACTGTCCTAGCAAGTGAGTGTAAATTGAGAGCCTGTAATTGTTTTACATGATGGTAGGATTGCTGGTGTCTTTTTTCTGTCTCATAAACTTGCAAGATTTCAGGTATGTCTTGCTACTTCTTACACTTAGGTCACACTACACATGCATGTACACATTTATGTATACACACTCTTCTGGGTTTTCCTCTATTTTCTTACTAGTTCTTCTTGTTTATTTCCTCTTATCTCCACGGGAAAGTGGAACAGAATTCTTCCTCTGTAAGCCATGCGTGTTGTAAGAGGGGACTAAAATGCTGGGAGCAAGGGGCTAGTAACCTCTTCTCCTGTATACATTACTAAAGTTAAAAAGAGAAACTTTTGTTTTTCTTTTTGGGGTCACCCTGCTTCAGTGAGATATGGTCGGTTTGTTGAAAGAAAGAAATATACAGTATACAGTAGTGTATTTGTCTTACCAAAACAGGCTGCACATTCTCTAATGGTAATACTTCAGTTGCAAAATGGAAGGTTAAAAAATGTGCTTCACAAGGTGTGACCTTGGGATTTTTTCTTATCCCTGCCACAGTGAATGGGTTAATTCTGTACAAAATTGTTGAAATATAATTAATGTTTTAATAGAAGTTTCAGCAGTAAACATTTTTAATGAATTGTTTAACCTAGATCTTTCCTGAAACATTACGCATACAAATTTTGAAAAACTAATTTTTTACATTACTACGTACACTATACAAATAGCCCACACATGGGAGACAGAAACTTATTACACTGTTTTAGTTCAACTTAGACCATTGATTAGTCACACACATTTGCTAAGGAAAGTGAGCCAGAATATATATGAGAAGGGGGTAGGGGCTCTCTTCCTTTTACATTTCTCAGTGTGATTACTTAATGGTCCAAGTCAGTCCAAAATGTTGTCATTAGTTTCTGTCTTGTGTGTGTGGGTTATCTGTGTATTGTTCCAGTCATGGAATTATGTCTCTTTTATTCTCTATATACAGTGTCATTAATCAGTGAATATTTGTATGACAATAGATTTCTTGGATACTAAATTATTTTGTTTAATTGTGGAAATTAAAATGGAAATATAAAATGTTGAGAATTAACTGTACTTTTCACTGCCAGATGCTAACAGAGGACACTGCAAGAAACATTGGGATATCTGCGTACTATCCTCTTGTTCGTAAATCCTTCAACGACATCCTTAAGGCCCTCGACAGTCAATTTGGCCGACCTCTCATGATGACGAACACACAGAACGTCAACAAAGTAAGCTCTAAAGATGCTTTTATATTAAGAGGCAGATAGTTCATCATTTTCTTTTTACTATATTGGCTCTTTCCCACCAAGATGGGATGACTAACAGAAGGGAAACAAACAAAGGGGGCACATTCACCATCACTCATTCATTAGCTGTCCTACCAGAACAGCACAGACATCACAATTTAAATGATCCTCTGAACTACAACATCTGCAGTTATCTTTAAAATGCAAGTATTAGGAAATTTTTTAAGTATGTCATGTAATGTCTGTCTTATCTGTTGCTCATACTTCTCCCAAATTCATAAAACTTTTTTGAATGTGGAATGATCATAATGTAATATTTGCAGAATGTAAATTATAAATTTAAAAAATTGTTGGTAATTTTTCCTTGAGAAATTGCTATTTGGAATTTTGTTTTTGGGATGATCTCTGTACATCTGTACTTAGTAGATGAATTACAGGTAAGTTAATGCCCCTTGATTTTAGAATATTAGTGTGCTGGTCATTATACATTTAAAAAGAAAAGAACACACAATTTTAATGCATTTAACAATCATTTCAGGAACCAGATGAGATGATCACTGGAGAACGCAAGCCCAAGATAGATCTGTTTCGAACATGCGTTGCCGCTGTTCCTAGGCTCATACCAGATGGGATGTCTGGCAGGGATTTAGTAGACATGCTTGGACGACTCACTGTTCACATGGATGAAGAACTGAGAGCATTAGCATTTCAGAGCCTTCAAAATCTCGTGTTGGACTTCCCTGAATGGCGTCATGACGTCGTTTTTGGTACATACTTCTTTTGACTTGTTTTCAGTGTTCTGTAGTAAATATTATAGTTCATCTGTTGCAGAAAACTTGCACTGTTTAATTAGCTCATACTTTGATGACTTTATGAATTATTTCTCCCTCTAAGACCACCTTGATAGTGATATTATATTTGCTTATAGTTAAAATGTATGAGTAATTCTTATCATTTTTTTGTAACACATCAGTCATCTCCCACCGAGGCAGGGTGACCCAAAAAGAAAGAAAATCCCCAAAAAGAAAATACTTTCATCATCATTAAACACTTTCACCTCCCTCACACACATTATCACTGTTTTTGCAGAGGTGCTCGGAACACAACAGTTTAGAAGCATATACGTATAAAGATACACAACATATCCCTCCAAACTGCTAATATCCTGAAACCCCTCCTTTAGAGTGCAGGCATTGTACTTCCCATTTCCATGACTCAAGTCCGGCTATATAAAAATAACCGGTTTCCCTGGATCCCTTCACTAAATATTACCCTGCTCACACTCCAACAAATCGTCATGTCTCAAATACCATTCGTCTCCATTCACTCCTATCGAACACGCTCATGCACGCCTCCTGGAAGTCCAAGCCCCTCGCCCACAAAACCTCCCTTACCCCTTCCTTCCAACCTTTTCAAGGACGACCACCTACCCTGCCTTCCTTCCCCTACAGATTTAATTGCTCTCCATATCATTCTACTTTGATCCATTCTCTCTAAATGACCAAACCACCTCAACAGCCCCTCTTCAGCCCTCTGACTAACACTTTTGTTAACTCCACACCTTCTCCTAATTTACACACTCTGAATTTTCTGCATAATATTTGCACCACACATTGCCCTTAGACAGGACATCTCCACTTCCTCCAACCGCCTCCTCGCTGCTGCATTCACAACCCAAGCTTCACACCCATATAAGAGTGTTGGTACTATTATACTTTCATACATTCTCTTCTTTGCCTCCATAGATAACGTTTTTTGTCTCCACATATACCTCAATGCACCACTCACCTTTTTTCCTCATCAATTCTATGATTAACCTCATCCTTCATAAATCCATCTGCCAACATGTCAACTCCCAAGTTTCTGAAAACATTCACTTCTTCCATACTCCTCCTCCCCAATTTGATATCCAATTTTTCTTTATCTAAATCATTTGATACCCTCATCACCTTACTCTTTTCTATGTTCACTTTCAACTTTCTATCTTTACACACACTCCCAAACTCGTCCGCTAACCTTTGCAATTTTTTTTTTTTTTTTTTTTTTTTTTATTATCACACTGGCCGATTCCCACCAAGGCAGGGTGGCCCGAAAAAGAAAAACTTTCACCATCATTCACTCCATCACTGTCTTGCCAGAAGGGTGCTTTACACTACAGTTTCTAAACTGCAACATTAACACCCCTCCTTCAGAGTGCAGGCACTGTACTTCCCATCTCCAGGACTCAAGTCCTACCTGCCGGTTTCCCTGAACCCCTTCATAAATGTTACTTTGCTCACACTCCAACAGCACGTCAAGTATTAAAAAACATTTGTCTCCATTCACTCCTATCAAACACGCTCACGCGTGCCTGCTGGAAGTCCAAGCCCCTCGCACACAAAACCTCCTTTACCCCCTCCCTCCAACCTTTCCTAGGCCGACCCCTACCCCGCCTTCCTTCCACTACAGACTGATACACTCTTGAAGTTATTCTGTTTCGCTCCATTCTCTCCACATGTCCGAACCACCTCAACAACCCTTCCTCAGCCCTCTGGACAACAGTTTTGGTAATCCGCACCTCCTCCTAACTTCCAAACTACGAATTCTCTGCATTATATTCACACCACACATTGCTCTCAGACATGACATCTCCACTGCCTCCAGCCTTCTCCTCGCTGCAACATTCATCACCCATGCTTCACACCCATATAAGAGCGTTGGTAAAAACTATACTCTCATACATTCCCCTCTTTGCCTCCAAGGACAAAGTTCTCTGTCTCCACAGACTCCTAAGTGCACCACTCACCCTTTTCCCCTCATCAATTCTATGATTCACCTCATCTTTCATAGACCCATCCGCTGACACGTCCACTCCCAAATATCTGAATACATTCACCTCCTCCATACTCTCTCCCTCCAATCTGATATCCAATCTTTCATCACCTAATCTTTTTGTTATCCTCATAACCTTACTCTTTCCTGTATTCACTTTCAATTTTCTTCTTTTGCACACCCTACCAAATTCATCCACCAATCTCTGCAACTTCTCTTCAGAATCTCCCAAGAGCACAGTGTCATCAGCAAAGAGCAACTGTGACAACTCCCACTTTATGTGTGATTCTTTGTCTTTTAACTCCATGCCTCTTGCCAAGACCCTCGCATTTACTTCTCTTACAACCCCATCTATAAATATATTAAACAACCACGGTGACATCACACATCCTTGTCTAAGGCCTACTTTTACTGGGAAATAATTTCCCTCTTTCCTACATACTCTAACTTGAGCCTCACTATCCTCGTAAAAACTCTTCACTGCTTTCAGTAACCTACCTCATGCATGGCTTATGGAGGGAGGATTTTTCTCCACTTTCCCATGGAGTTGTCATCTTATTATTGCTAAAATCAAATTAAGCACTATAAGAGTCATACAATGCTGTGGGGAGGGATATGCAAAGGTTAAGAGCAAGCAGACACAAGGGGTGCGCATAGTTAAGGGTTAAGATAAGATAAGATAAGATTTCGTTCGGATTTTTAACCCCGGAGGGTTAGCCACCCAGGATAACCCAAGAAAGTCAGTGCGTCATCGAGGACTGTCTAACTTATTTCAATTGGGGTCCTTAATCTTGTCCCCCAGGATGCGACCCACACCAGTCGACTAACACCCAGGTACCTATTTGCTGCTAGGTGAACAGGACAACAGGTGTAAGGAAACGTGTCGAAATGTTTCCACCCGCCGGGAATCGAACCCGGGCCCTCCGTGTGTGAAGCGGGAGCTTTAGCCACCAGGCCACCGGGCCTGGTGGCTAACACCCACCGGGGGTGGGTGTTAGTGGAAGTAAATTTTAAATCAAATTTGTTGTAATATGTATGTTAATTTTAATTAAAAAGTCAAAGAGAGTCTGTCAAAAGTGGGACTTGCAGCAAGTCGGTGAGATTGAGTGTGCTGAGACGGTTTAGATGTCAGAAGTGCATCCTTCGTGCATTATAATAGGCAGAACAATTTATTAAGAGATGTTAAACGGACAGTGAGGCCTGGCAGTCCTCACAGAGTGGTGCCAGTTATTTCTCCATGTAGAGAGTGAGTGAGTGTGAGAGTGAGTGTGAGAGTGTGTGTGAGTGTGTGAGTGTGTGTGAGTGTGTGATTTGTGTAGTGTTGAGAGTGTGTGTGTGAGTTGTGTGTGTGTGTGTGGTGTGTGTGAGTGTGTGTGTGTGAGTGTGAGGTGTGAGTGTGTGTGTGTGTGTGTGTGTGTTGTGTGGTGTTGTGTGTGTGAGTGGTGTGTGTGTGTGTGTGTGTGTTGTGTGTTGTGTGTTGTGTGTGTGTGTGTGTGTGTGTGTGTGTGTGTAATGTGCAAATGTGAGAAAACATACTTATATTAATGTTGAATGTGTAAATTATTTAAAATTTTGACTCCTGATCATTTAAGAACATTAGAACATAAGAAAAAAAGATAATTGCAGCAAGCTTGCTAACCAAGAGTAGGTAGGACCAACTCTCACCTGTCATTTCCCACTTATATAAAGTGAGAAACCATTTGGGCAGAAATATGAAACACAGGTTAGAAAGACCTATATATTTCAGCTTCAGTCAGAGACCTTCTTCAACAGACGACTTAGTGAAGTCGTAACATACAGATCTCTCATACCTGTGTTTTGTCTTTTTATATAAACAGTTTCTCACTTTGTTTTGATTAGTATTTATGAAAATTTAATTCAAGCATACCCACCCGTGTATCTGTTCAGCCTGTTTATAAAGCATATCATTTGAACAAGTAGTGTTTATCCTACAAATTTTTATCATTACAGGCTTCATTCAGTTTATAGTAAAGGAAGTTGGAGACACATCACCCCAGCTGCTAGATAATGGAGTGAGGATGCTGCTACAACTGCTGACTGCTTGGAGAAATGCTCTCACCAATTCCACCACCACTACCAATGCTAACAAGCGAGACCCAGGTGTGGGGGACCTCCATCATCTTCATCTTCACCAGGTAGGTTTGAATATTTTCTTATGAAATGGTTTCTGTGACTTGACATGCTGTTGGAGTGTGTGCAAAGTAACATTTATGAAGGGATTCAGGAAAACCAGTTAGCCGGCCTTGAGTCCTGGAGGTGGGATGTAGAGTGTCTGCACTCTGAAGGAGGGGTGTTAATGTTGCAGTTTTTGAACTGTAGCGTCAGCACACCTCTGGCAAGACAGTGATGGAGTGAATGATGATGAAAGTGTTTCTTCTTTTTCAGGTCACCCTGCCTCAGTGAGAAATGGCCAGTGGGTTAGTAAAAAAAATATTTATTGTAGACAAAGACAAAATGCTCTATTCTTGTGATACAAAACCTTATTGTTTGTCTATAGGTTGCAGATATATGGGTGGGTTTGACTGAGTTTAGTGGGAGTTGCTGGATGGAGTTTGCTGTAGGGTTTGTCTAGCTCTTTCATTGTATGCTCATGTTTATTTTTTCACATACATGTATATCAGTTAAAAACAGAGTAGGGGAGTTAGTAGATGGGGAGAGGGAGGTATTAGGTAGATGGCGAGAATATTTTGAGGAACTTTTAAATGTTGAGGAAGAAAGGGAGGCGGTAATTTCATGCACTGGCCAGGGAGGTATACCATCTTTTAGGAGTGAAGAAGAGCAGAATGTAAGTGTGGTGGAGGTACGTGAGGCATTACGTAGAATGAAAGGGGTTAAAGCAGCTGGAACTGATGATCATGACAGAAATGTTAAAAGCAGGGGGGGATATAGTGTTGGAGTGGTTGGTACTTTTGTTTAATAAATGTATGAAAGAGGGGAAGGTACCTAGGGATTGGCGGAGAGCATGTATAGTCCCTTTATATAAAGGGAAAGGGGACAAAAGAGATTGTAAAAATTATAGAGGAATAAGATTACTGAGTATACCAGGAAAAGTATACGGTAGGGTTATACATGTAATTGAAAGAATTAGAGGTAAGACAGAATGTAGGATTGCGGATGAGCAGGGAGGCTTCAGAGTGGGTAGGGGATGTGTAGATCAAGTGTTTACAATTAAGCATATATGTGAACAGTATTTAGATAAAGGTAGGGAAGTTTTTATTGCATTGATGGATTTAGAAAAGGCATATGATAGAGTGGATAGAGGAGCAGTGTGGCAGATGTTGCAAGTATATGGAATAGGTGGCAAGTTACTAAATGCTGTAAAGAGCTTTTATGAGGATAGTGAGGCTCAGGTTAGGGTGTGTAGAAGAGAGGGAGATTACTTCCCAGTAAAAGTAGGTCTTAGACAGGGATGTGTAATGTCACCATGGTTGTTTAATATATTTATAGATGGGGTTGTAAAAGAATTAAATGCTAGGGTGTTCAGGAGAGGGGTGGGATTAAATTATGGGGAATCAAATTCAAAATCGGAATTGACACAGTTACTTTTTGCTGATGATACTGTGCTTATGGGAGATTCTAAAGAAAAATTGCAAAGGTTAGTGGATGAGTTTGAGAATGTGTGTAAAGGTAGAAAATTGAAAGTGAACATAGAAAAGAGTAAGGCGATGAGGGTATCAAATGATTTAGATAAAGAAAAATTAGATATCAAATTGGGGAGGAGGAGTATGGAAGAAGTGAATGTTTTCAGATACTTGGGAGTTGACATGTCGGCGGATGGATTTATGAAGGATGAGGTTAATCATAGAATTGATGAGGGAAAAAAGATGAGTGGTGCGTTGAGGTATATGTGGAGTCAAAAAACGTTATCTATGGAGGCAAAGAAGGGAATGTATGAAAGTATAGTAGTACCAACACTCTTATATGGATGTGAAGCTTGGGTGGTAAATGCAGCAGCGAGGAGACGGTTGGAGGCAGTGGAGATGTCCTGTTTAAGGGCAATGTGTGGTGTAAATATTATGCAGAAAATTCGGAGTGTGGAAATTAGGAAAAGGTGTGGAGTTAATATTAGTATTAGATCTGGGCAGAAGAGGGGTTGTTGAGGTGGTTTGGTCATTTAGAGAGAATGGATCAAAGTAGAATGACATGGAAAGCATATAAATCTATAGGGGAAGGAAGGAGGGGTAGGGGTCGTCCTCGAAAGGGTTGGAAAGAGGGGGTAAAGGAGGTTTTGTGGGCGAGGGGCTTGGACTTCCAGCAAGCGTGCATGAGCGTGTTAGATAGGAGTGAATGGAGACGAATGATACTTGGGACCTGACGATCTGTTGGAGTGTGAGCAGGGTAATATTTAGTGAAGGGATTCAGGGAAACCGGTTATTTTCATATAGTCGGACTTGAGTCCTGGAAATGGGAAGTACAATGCCTGCACTTTAACCCTTTGAGGGTTTTCGTCGTACTAGTACGTCTTACGCGTAGGGGTTTTTGACGTACTAATACTCATAAATTCTAGCGGCCTCAAATCTAGTGGGAGAAAGCTGGTAGGCCTTTATATGAAAGAATGGGTCTATGTGGTCAGTGTGCACAGTCTAAAAAAAATCCTGCAGCACACAGTGCATAATGAGAAAAAAAAAAACTTTAACCATTTTTTTTTAATAAATCAGCGACTTTGCAGTGTATTTTCGTATGGTATTTATTGTTGTATTCTAGTTTTCTTGGTCTCATTTTATAGAATGGAAGACATATTACTGAAATTGAGATGATTTTGACTGGTTTTACAATGAAAGGTGCCTTGAAATTGAGCTCAAAGTAGCAGAAATGTTCGATTTTTACCAAACTTCAAAAGGAAACAAATCGTGCCAAGCGTGCAATACAGTCAACTGGTGAGTCTAATATTCTTTCACAAGTGCACCAATAATATTTATATCATTTTTTACACTAATGCAGTAGTCTGCATAACAGTAAATCTTATATTTTTTGTGAGAATAAAAATTCAATGTGGAAAGCAAAAGAATATAAGAGGGGCCTTGAGACGTGACTAATGACTAGAGGAAATGTCATTTTAGTGCCAGGAATGTCTTTCTTGTTTATTCTGGACCCTATTCCGAAATTGGCATCTTTTGAAATTTGTGTGAAATTGGCAAAATTGCTAAATTCTGACCACTGTACTGGATAGTTGAATTTATAAATGGGTGGTTTCTTGCACCCATTCGATAGAAAAAATGGAGTTCTAGCGAAATATTCATGTTTTTTGTCGACTAGTACAGTGAAATTGGCCGAAAATGGGGCTCAAAGTGGGCAAAATCGCCGATGCGTAAACATCGCCGAGACCGCTAACTTTGCGAGAGCATAATTCCGTAAGTTTTCTATCAAATTTCAAACTTTTGGTGTCGTTATGATCGGGAAAAGATTCTCTATCTTTTATAAGAGAAAATAATTTTTTTTTTTTTTTAAATTTGGCCGACCCTGAGAACGAGTTTCGGAGAGGGCCTGTCGACCCTCAAAGGGTTAAAGGAGGGGTTTGGGATATTGGCAGTTTGGAGGGATATGTCGTGTATCTTTATACGTATATGCTTCTAAACTGTTGTATTCTGAGCACCTCTGCAAAAGCAGTGATAATGTGTGAGTGTGGTGAAAGTGTTGAATGATGATGAAAGTATTTTCTTTTTTGGGGATTTTCTTTCTTTTTTGGGTCACCCTGCCTCGGTGGGAGACGGGCGACTTGTTGAAAAAAAAGAAAAAGATGTATATCTCAAGGGATTTTGGGTAGTAGGTTGGTAGACAGCAACCACCCAGGGAAGTACTACCGTCCTGCCAGATGACTGTGAAACAAAAACCTGTAACTGTTTTGCATGATGGTAGGATTGCTGGTTTCTTTTTCTGTCTCATAAACACGCTAGATAACAGGGATATCTTGCTACTCCTACTTACACTTTGGTCACACTTCACAGACACGCACATGCATATATATATATATATATACATACATCTAGGTTTTTCTCCTTTTTCTAAATAGCTTTTGTTCTTTTTTATTTCTTCTATTGTCCATGGGGAAGTGGAAAAGAATCTTTCCTCCATAAGCCATGCGTGTCGTATGAGGCGACTAAAATGCCGGGAGCAATGGGCTAGTAACCCCTTCTCCTGTATACATTTACTAAAAAAGAGAAGAAGAAAAACTTTATAAAAACTGGGATGCTTAAATGTGCGTGGATGTAGTGCGGATGACAAGAAACAGATGATTGCTGATGTTATGAATGAAAGAAGTTGGATGTCCTGGCTCTAAGCGAAACAAAGCTGAAGGGGGTAGGAGAGTTTCAGTGGGGGGAAGTAAATGGGATTAAATCTGGAGTATCTGAGAGAGTTAGAGCAAAGGAAGGGGTAGCAGTAATGTTAAATGATCAGTTATGGAAGGAGAAAAGAGAATATGAATGTGTAAATTCAAGAATTATGTGGATTAAAGTAAAGGTTGGATGCGAGAAGTGGGTCATAATAAGCGTGTATGCACCTGGAGAAGAGAGGAATGCAGAGGAGAGAGAGAGATTTTGGGAGATGTTAAGTGAATGTATAGGAGCCTTTGAACCAAGTGAGAGAGTAATTGTGGTAGGGGACCTGAATGCTAAAGTAGGAGAAACTTTTAGAGAGGGTGTGGTAGGTAAGTTTGGGGTGCCAGGTGTAAATGATAATGGGAGCCCTTTGATTGAACTTTGTATAGAAAGGGGTTTAGTTATAGGTAATACATATTTTAAGAAAAAGAGGATAAATAAGTATACACGATATGATGTAGGGCGAAATGACAGTAGTTTGTTGGATTATGTATTGGTAGATAAAAGACTGTTGAGTAGACTTCAGGATGTACATGTTTATAGAGGGGCCACAGATATATCAGATCACTTTCTAGTTGTAGCTACACTGAGAGTAAAAGGTAGATGGGATACAAGGAGAATAGAAGCATCAGGGAAAGAGAGAGGTGAAGGTTTATAAAACTAAAAGAGGAGGCAGTTAGGGTAAGATATAAACAGCTATTGGAGGATAGATGGGTAATGAGAGCATAGGCAATGGGGTCGAAGAGGTATGGGGTAGGTTTAAAAATGTAGTGTTAGAGTGTTCAGCAGAAGTTTGTGGTTACAGGAAAGTGGGTGCAGGAGGGAAGAGGAGCGATTGGTGGAATGATGATGTAAAGAGAGTAGTAAGGGAGAAAAAGTTAGCATATGAGAAGTTTTTACAAAGTAGAAGTGATGCAAGGAGGGAAGAGTATATGGAGAAAAAGAGAGAGGTTAAGAGAGTGGTGAAGCAATGTAAAAAGAGAGCAAATGAGAGAGTGGGTGAGATGTTGTCAACAAATTTTGTTGAAAATAAGAAAAAGTTTTGGAGTGAGATTAACAAGTTAAGAAAGCCTAGAGAACAAATGGATTTGTCAGTTAAAAATAGGAGAGGAGAGTTATTAAATGGAGAGTTAGAGGTATTGGGAAGATGGAGGGAATATTTTGAGGAATTGTTAAATGTTGATGAAGATAGGGAAGCTGTGATTTCGTGTATAGGGCAAGGAGGAATAACATCTTGTAGGAGTGAGGAAGAGCCAGTTGTGAGTGTGGGGGAAGTTCGTGAGGCAGTAGGTAAAATGAAAGGGGGTAAGGCAGCCGGGATTGATGGGATAAAGATAGAAATGTTAAAAGCAGGTGGGGATATAGTTTTGGAGTGGTTGGTGCAATTATTTAATAAATGTATGGAAGAGGGTAAGGTACCTAGGGATTGGCAGAGAGCATGCATAGTTCCTTTGTATAAAGGCAAAGGGGATAAAAGAGAGTGCAAAAATTATAGGGGGATAAGTCTGTTGAGTGTACCTGGTAAAGTGTATGGTAGAGTTATAATTGAAAGAATTAAGAGTAAGACGGAGAATAGGATAGCAGATGAACAAGGAGGCTTTAGGAAAGGTAGGGGGTGTGTGGACCAGGTGTTTACAGTGAAACATATAAGTGAACAGTATTTAGATAAGGCTAAAGAGGTCTTTGTGGCATTTATGGATTTTGGAAAAGGCGTATGACAGGGTGGATAGGGGGGCAATGTGGCAGATGTTGCAAGTGTATGGTGTAGGAGGTAGGTTACTGAAAGCAGTGAAGAGTTTTTACGAGGATAGTGAGGCTCAAGTTAGAGTATGTAGGAAAGAGGGAAATTTTTTCCCAGTAAAAGTAGGCCTTAGAGAAGGATGTGTGATGTCACCGTGGTTGTTTAATATATTTATAGATGGAGTTGTAAGAGAAGTAAATGCGAGGGTCTTGGCAAGAGGCGTGGAGTTAAAAGATGAAGAATCACACACAAAGTGGGAGTTGTCACAGCTGCTCTTTGCTGATGACACTGTGCTCTTGGGAGATTCTGAAGAGAAGCTGCAGAGATTGGTGGATGAATTTGGTAGGGTGTGCAAAAGAAGAAAATTAAAGGTGAATACAGGAAAGAGTAAGGTTATGAGGATAACAAAAGATTAGGTGATGAAAGATTGAATATCAGATTGGAGGGAGAGAGTATGGAGGAGGTGAAACGTATTCAGATATTTGGGAGTGGACGTTGTCAGCGGATGGGTCTATGAAAGATGAGGTGAATCATAGAATTGAAGAGGGAAAAAGAGTGAGTGGTGCACTTAGGAGTCTGTGGAGACAAAGAACTTTGTCCTTGGAGGCAAAGAGGGGAATGTATGAGAGTATAGTTTTACCAACGCTCTTATATGGGTGTGAAGCGTGGGTGATGAATGTTGCAGCGAGGAGAAGGCTGGAGGCAGTGGAGATGTCATGTCTGAGGGCAATGTGTGGTGTGAATATAATGCAGAGAATTCGTAGTTTGGAAGTTGAGGAGGAGGTGCGGGATTACCAAAACTGTTGTCCAGAGGGCTGAGGAAGGGTTGTTGAGGTGGTTCGGACATGTAGAGAGAATGGAGCGAAACAGAATGACTTCAAGAGTGTATCAGTCTGTAGTGGAAGGAAGGCGGGGTAGGGGTCGGCCTAGGAAGGGTTGGAGGGAGGGGGTAAAGGAGGTTTTGTGTGCGAGGGGCTTGGACTTCCAGCAGGCATGCGTGAGCGTGTTTGATAGGAGTGAATGGAGACAAATGGTTTTTAATACTTGACATGCTGTTGGAGTGTGAGCAAAGTAACATTTATGAAGGGATTCAGGGAAACCGGCAGGCCGGACTTGAGTCCTGGAGATGGGAAGTACAGTGCCTGCACTCTGAAGGAGGAGTGTTAATGTTGCAGTTTAAAAACTGTAGTGTAAAGCACCCTTCTGGCAAGACAGTGATGGAGTGAATGATGGTGAAAGTTTTTCTTTTTCGGGCCACCCTGCCTTGGTGGGAATCGGCCAGTGTGTTAATAAAAAAAAAAAAATAAACAAGCTGTTGGAGTGTGAGCAAGTTAATAATTTTATGAAGGAATTCAGGGAGGTGGGAAGTACAGTGCCTGCACTCTAAAAGAGGGGTTAGAGATATTTGCTGTTGGGAGGGACATCTGAGCTGTTTTATCTGCACGCCTCTGGCAGGATAGTGATAGTATGAATGATGGTGAAAGTGTTTCTTTTTCAGGTTACCCTGCATCAGTATTAAAAAACAATCTCAAGAGGGTTTCATTCATTCCGTCACAGGCACAGTTTAGTAGCCATCCAACTCTGTCATTTTAATATAGATGCTGTGAAGTGTGTGAGAGCCTAAATAAGTTATGTATAGCTTAAGTTAATATGAGCCCAGTCCATTTCTTATTAACTGTGTGACAGTCTCCATTTACCAAAAGGAATACTATATTTTATGGCATCGAAGACACCATTTTTTCAAAAAACAAATCTCGAAAATTCATCTAGCATCTTGGAGGCTGAAGTACCGTTTATCTTTTTTCCAAAATTTAGCCAGTCAGAATTGGGGGAAGGGAGATATGTCCTCAACACCAGAGCGTCTTGTTCAGTGTAAAATACGGTAGTTGATTGATAGGTTTCTGTTAATCTAAAAAAAAGTTTACTAGTGGTTATAATGCATGAAATGTACTGTATATTCAGTATTTGTTAAAATAATTTTCATCATCCACAGAGGGGTGATCACAGTGATGTATTGCGCTTAGCTGAAGGTTTTGCTCTGGTGCTGTTGTGTAGTTGTCGACAAGCTCCACGCAGAGTGGCAGTAGCTATTATGAGGGAAGTCAAGCTGTTAGCCAAGGCTTTAAGTGAAGAAGATCCTATCAATCATCCTGTTATAGATGTTATGGATAAGTAAGTATTGGTGATACTTTTTGTCTATGCTTTTATTTAGTCTGTTATCACCCTTATTTTTGCTTGTACTATATTTCATTTATTTTGTTTATTATTGTTGAGTACTCATAATTCTTCATTTTTAATACACTGATATTAATTTTTTTTTAATTATTTCAACATCCCAGAGCTATGATTCTGTGTTCATATATTCCTAAGATGTTGGATGCATATATTGAGCTTAAGAAGAGCAGGGATCACTAGGTGCCTCTTAACTTTATCATCTAGTAAATGTATATTAGCAGGCACAACACAGCCTAGTCACAAGAGAGAGAGTATAAACAGCCTGGGCCATAAGAGAAAGGGTATAAACACAGCCTGGGCCATAAGAGAGGGTATAAATACAGCCTGGGCCATAAGAGAGAGGATATAAACACAGCCTGAGCCATAAGAGAAAGGGTATAAACACAGCCTGAGCCATAAGAGAAAGGGTATAAACACAGCCTGGGCCATAAGAGAGAGGGTATAAACACAGCCTGGGCCATAAGAGAAAGGGTATAAACACAGCCTGGGCCATAAGAGAAAGGGTATAAACACAGCCTGGGCCATAAGAGAAAGGGTATAAACACAGCCTGGGCCATAAGAGAAAGGGTATAAACACAGCCTGGGCCATAAGAGAGAGGGTATAAACACAGCCTGGGCCATAAGAGACAGGGTATAAACAGCCTGGGCCATAAAAGAGAGTGTATACTTGGTCTCAGAAATCCAATTTTTACAAGGCACTAGAACTGTTGCCAAACTTCAACCCAACACTAACTCTAGGATGGTTGCAACCCTTCAAGCTAATAGTAAATAATTCTGTATCAAATATTGTTTAAAAATTTAAGAAAGAGGATATTTTTCACTCGTAAGATGTGGGGATACAGCATCAGATATATTTTTCAAGAGCTTGAATTATAGCTGGTAATATAAAGTAATCGATTAAGAGGTGTAGATTTTTTTCCTTTAGTTTTATTGAAGTTGATAAGTTACTACAAAAGATTTCTGAGAAGGTACAAGTTCTTGCTAAAGAAAAGGGTTCTGTAATTTGTCCAGAAGGAGTCCTACTGCCTTTTATAGCAGTAGCCCATAACCTATGCTTTTGTATGTAAATCATGGCTATCATTTATTTGCTGGTAAGCTTGTTTCAGTTATGATGTGTGAGTGAGGTGAAAGTGTTGAATGATGATGAAAGTATTTTCTTTTGGGGGATTTTCTTTCTTTTTTGGGTCACCCTGCCTCGGTGGGAGACGGCCGACTTGTTGGAAAAAGAAAAAAAAAATTGTTCTCAGCCCACTTCCTCGTGTGTACTCAGAAGTATTATTTTTCACATTTGTGTTGTTTCTTGCACTTTATTCTTGGTAAAGTGGATAGGAGGAAGATACTGCAATGTTTCATTTGATCAGCTGATGACCACTGTTACTTCATAATCACTCACTCACTCACTAATTTGCTCACTCTGTCTCTGCTTTTTACAGAAAATTATTGAGAGGAAAAAAAGTACAGAAGTGTTTTCTGGCATCTATAAAACAAAGCAATGTTGTAGTATGTTCATCTTGTATTAATGTTGGTAAAATTACTGCCAGTAAGTTAAGTAAAAGGACACAAGTGCAACTAATGTGACATTTTATCGTGGCAACATTTTGCTGTCCTGGAGCTTTATCAAGCCGTTACTGCTACAAGTGCAACTAATGTCACAGTTACACTTGTGTCCTTTTACTTAACATATGTTCATCTTCCCTCACTCCCCTTCACTCTAGTGTTCTTACTAGCAGCTTTTACCACAATTTGAGTTTTCTCTTGCAATTTATTGATGGTAATTGCATGATGGGAGAGTATGAAAGAGCTTCTTGTGTACAGTGATACTTGTAAAGAAATTCATGGTGCAGATACCATGTACATTAATTCATGAGGTTCTCCAATTTACAAACGACCAGAGTTATTTACATCTGCTCTGAAAAACCTGGTGGGGTGGAGATATTTGCTGTTTGGAGGGACATCTGAACTGCCATATCTGGGTGCCTCTGGCAAGACAGTGATAGCATGAATGATGGTGAAAGTGTTTTTTTTTTTTGGGGGGGGGGTCACCCTACCTTGGTGGGAGATAGCCAATACAAAAAAAAAAAAAAAAAAAAAAAAACACCGAGTTTCAGTATGAAGATTTGCAAAAGATATTCATCCTTAATGTTAAAGTACTATTGTTTCTTATACAAACAACTCTTTAATATACTGAGGAACTCCTATGTTATTAATATTACAGAAAATTGAAAGAAAAATTCTTTAACTCCATCCACTTAATTAGGTGGTGTGGGAGTGTTGTGGAAGGAGTGTTATCTCTGTTGCCTCCAGGGGAGAGGTCAGCAGTTGCAGCTACCACAACCATTGATCTGCAGTGGCTTGCTGACCGAAGCTCATCTGTCTGGACTGGAGGTAGGTGTATATCTCTGACTTGGTTGATATTTTTCAAAATATTAATTTTTTTATGTTTTGTGTAACTAAACATAGCAGATCTTTTTTTTTTTTTAGGAGAAGTTCATGAAAGTTTTTCATATTCTGTTGACCACTGACAGCTGTGTAAGAAGTCTTTCAAAATCAGGTTTGCAGGACAGTGTGATTACCTTTTTGTAGTTACAGGAGCAGAGCTTTGCTTGTGGTGGTCCATCTTCTGTGTTTACTTTGCCATGCAAATTTCTGATGTTTGTAGCATTTACAGTACAATACAGTGGTAGGGAACTCCTATTTGATCATATTCCATCACTACATCTGTCCAGTATTTGTGCAGGAATTTTTTCTAGTGCTTTATTGGGACCAGGTTTTTTTTAGCTTACAATTGTGGTCTTCATTCTTCCTGATGATGGTCTTTAGAAATCTTACTTATCTGTTTTTTCTTATTGTATGATCTTATTTGTGGTTATGGTGTATTTTTTTTTTCAATCTCTCAGGATTGGCATTTTTAATAAGTTCAGTCTTATTTAGTAACTCCTTCTTCTTTCTTTCAACACACCGGCCGTATCCCACCGAGGTGGGGTGGCCCAAAAGGAAAAACGAAAGTTTCTCCTTTTACATTCTCCTTTTACATATATACAGGAGAAGGGGTTACTAGCCCCTTGCTCCCGGCATTTTAGTCGCCTCTTACAACACGCATGGCTTACGAAGGAAGAATTCTGTTCCACTTCCCCATGGAGCTAAGAGGAAATAAACAAGAATAAGAACTAGAAAGAAAATGGAAGAAAACCCAGAGGGGTGTGTATATATGTGCTTGTACATGTATGTGTAGTGTGACCTAAGTGTAAGTAGAAGTAGCAAGACATACCTGAAATCTTGCATGTTCATGAGACAGAAAAATGGACACCAGCAATCCTACCATCATGTAAAACAATTACAGGCTTTCGTTTTACACTCACTTGGCAGGATAGTAGTACCACCCTGGGCGGTTGCTGTCTACCAACCTACTACCTATAATTTCGTAACTCATGTGTTTTAAATCTACAGTTATTTTGTAACCTACCTATGGATTTTTTTCTAAATCTACACTTTTTTAGATGCATATATCATATTACCTAGGTAGTAGGTTGGTAAACAGCAACCGCCCAGTGAGGTACTACCGTCTTGCCAAGTGAGTGTACAACGAAAACCTGTAATTGTTTTACATGATGGTAGGATTGCTGGTGTCTTTTTTCTGTCTCATAAACATGCAAGATTTCAGGTACGTCTTGCTACTTCTACTTACACTTAGGTCACACTACACCTACATGTACAAGCATATATATACACACCCCTCTGGGTATTCTTCTATTTTCTTTATAGTTCTTGTTCTTGTTTATTTCCTCTTATCTCCATGGGGAAGTGGAACAGAATTCTTCCTCCGTAAGCCATGCATGTTGTAAGAGGCGACTAAAATGCCGGGAACAAGGGGCTAGTAACCCCTTCTCCCGTATAAATTACTAAATTTAAGAGAAACTTTCGTTTTTCTTTTTGGGCCACCCTGCCTTGGTGGGATATGGCCGGTGTGTTGAAAGAAAGATAGAAATATGTCACATTAATATTGCGTATTCAAATTTTTGGCCTAATGAATACTTTGAACAGCTTCTTTTTTTTTTTTAGCTCTCCAATATCACTTTATTATTATTATTATTAGTAGTAGCAATATTTTTAATATCATTATTATTATTAAAATTTTTGCTTACATTGCAGGATTTCTAGAAGACAGCAGTGTGAAAAGTGTAAGTGCTCAGCACCTAGTGTGTGAGGATGTGTGGGCACTTGTGTTGTGTGGCTTTATACTTCAAGGTCGAGTTCTCACCTCTTGTCCTCAGGCTGTCAATCATGCTTGGCCCATCGTCTACACTAGAGCTAATTCACTCTACTCGATTGTCGACCCAACGTAAGTGATGTTACTACTGAGAAGATTGTAGACTTTTTTGCATTTATTTAATCACACTAATACTCTTTTTAAAGGATAAAGTTTGCATAAAATGTAATATGTAGTGATTATTTGTAATAATAAGGCAGTATGATTGTTGAAATTGTTTGTCTTTATTGAGAAAGTAATTATTTGTAATAATAAGGCAGTATGATTGTTGAAATTGTTTGTCTTTATTAATAAGGTAATTACAGTATTTGTAGTAATAAGGCAGAATGTCAAATGCAAATGTACTATTGGTCTTTGGAATTGTTTGCCTTTATTGAGAAAGTAATTTCCAATGGGAATATGAAGAAAGAATGTAAGTTACAAGAATATAGTGTAGTTGATTAGAAACTTACTAGCAGCAAATATTGCATTAAATAATTTCATGGGTATATTTTTCATAATAATTAAGATTTTATTACATATTAACTTTATTCATACCTTTATGTAATGATTAGCTCTAATGTTTATATTAGAATTTTGGGAAATTAATGATGTAGGTACAGTATGTGTAATGAGTGTGGAGTACAGTTGTGTCAGCATTAGGCATTGCAGACTCAATAGGCAAGGCCTGGCTACTCCTCAAGACTCTCTGAATTATATGCCTCCAAGACATCCAACGTGTGTATTTCTTATTCCAGTATCTACCAACGAACCCTCCGACAAATAATTTTTTATCACACTAGATGTTTTCTACCACAAAAGTGACATTGATAATTATTGATGTGCTTTGGTAATTTGAAGTGAGACCTTGATAGTAACTAAATAGGATTTTTTAATAGACATGATGTAGAGGTGATCTTCTATATATGAGGTATCTTTTATACATAAAGTGTCCAGTAGCTCGACTGCTAGCACACTCAGCTCACACACTGAGATCTGCGGGGTTGATCCCCAGTACTGGTGGAGATATTAGGGTGTGTTTCATTAAGACACTTACTGTCCATGTTCACCTATCAGTCAAATAGATACCTGGCTGTTAGTCGACTGATGCCGGTCACATCCTGGGAATAAAATTGACCTAATTTGCTCGAAATGCTCTGCATAACCAGGGGTTCTCTATATAGTATGTCATTGACGTGAACTAGGCCTGTATACCTTGTACATGTACTTGTAGAAATAAAATTTTTGTTGTTATTATTATTATTATTATTATTATTATTATTATTATTATATATAGTAGATGCAGTATATCTGTAATGAAATATGAATTGATCAGCATAAAACTTTACAAATTATGAAGCATGAAAATGTTTCCATATCATTTATTGTTTGCTTCGCATTTTCTAAGTGATAATGAAGGTTCTGTTTATGTAACTTCACTTTAACAGGCCTCCTAATGACAATCGAGCATCATTACTTCGCAGCGCAACACAAGTTAAGAAGCCGATCAGTGAGAGAGATGTTTACATGAATCTTTGGAGAAATTATGTTGTGCTAGCCTGTCGTGTGGTGCCAGCCATCACTAAGACTCCAGTCATCAGATGTGCTTCTCCGGACATTAGTTTAGGGTATGTCAACCATGCTAGTGTTGTTCTTCATCTTAAATTGCTCGTGATTTCAGACTTCATGAAGGTGACTTGGAAGTGCCGAGTTGGGCTGGTAGGCCTGCAGCAGGGCTCTTTCCTTCTTAAGCAAATGTGATTTGGACCTGCTTAGCCTGAGCCAGTAAGCCTCCTGCAGTGCTCCTTTCTTATGTTATTTTAAACCAAACATATGTAAAGAAAAACTCTTTAGACTCCTGAAAATGTGTCCATGAAATTTTATTGAATAATGTCAAACCTCCCTAAGTTTAACATGGTTAGCAATTTAACAGAATATTTCTACTTATCATGTATTTATTTGTTTTTAATATTGATGAATTATTTTTAATAAATACTGCATTAATCTGTATGTGTGTTATGAGATCTCCATAGCAACAACACAAATTTGGTTTCTAAAGTAAAAACTCTAAATTGACTGCATATAAAAAATGTATCTAGAAAAAGCTTTAGCATTTTTTGATTGTGTTAATGTAATTTACTACCAGATTTGCTTTTATCAATTATAGGTATAATAATGATGTCAAAGTTACCAGGTTTGCTATGCCAGTTATAGGTACAATAAAGATGTCAGAATTTAGCAGTGTGAAAATTTAACATTATTGTTGTTGTGCTCATCATTTGGTTCACTGTTATCACATAGAGAGGTGTAACGTTGAATACAGTTTTATTTTATGTTTACCAGATCATCGCCGGAAAGTGGAGCGACTGGAGAGAAGGGAGGAGAGCGCCCATACCCTGGCTACTCTGTTTCTCCTCTCTGTTTGTACAAGTTACTTGTGCCCCTCCTACGCTGTGATAGCTCAGACATGCGGGAGGCTGTTACACTAGCTCTTGGAAAGATAAACCATTTTGCTCTTAGGTAAGTCATGGTAGTGAAAAGAGTTTTGCAGATGTGTTTTAACTTCAGCATCTAAGAATAATGTTTCTGTTGTAATGGGATACTTTTTTTAGTGTTAAATAAATTATTCATTACTCCATGGGAAAGTGGAGAAGAATTCTTCCTCCATAAGTCACTCATATCATAAGAGGCTACTAAAATGCCAGGAACAAAGGGCTAGTAACCCCTTCTCTTGTATACATTACTAAATTTAAAAAGAGAAACTTAGGTTTTTCTTTTTTGGTCACCCTGCCTTGGTGGGATACGGCCAAAATAACCCTTTCTAAATAACTCGCTAAATGTGTAAAGAAGAAACTTTTATTTCTTTTTTTATTGGGTCACCGTGCCTTGTGAGACAGATGGTGTGTTAAAATAAAAAGATATTCATTGTGCAAGAAAGGTATAAAATACCGACAATATGAAAGTTAAGACACATGTGCAACATCTGGTTATCTTTATTGTAGACGTTTCGCCATCCAGTGGCTTTATCAATGCAGATTCTAGGACATAATTGGAAGACAGTAGAACTATATACAAAAGATGAGGTAATCAGTCCCTCAGCCTTGGAGTTAGTGTTCACAGCATCCACCACAATGCTGTAAACACTAACTCCAAGGCTGAGGGACTGATTACCTCATCTTTTGTATATAGTTTTACTGTCTTCCAATTATGTCCTAGAATCTGTATTGATAAAGCCACTGGATGGTGAAACGTCTACAATAAAGATATCCAGATGTTGCAACTGTGTCTTAACTTTCAAGATATTCATTGCACTGAAAAAATTTAATTTTAATTACTCTCAACTGACTGCATTTTTTTAATCCAGTGACTTGATGGAAGAACTGTTTCCCTACATACGTGAAAGTATCGATCGTAAGCAGGAGAACATGCGTCGACGGCGGCGTAGAGACGCTCTTAGGGTCACTTTAGTAAAACTGTTCGAGATGATTGCTGAACAAGGCACATTTGCCCTCAGGTAAGTGATATTTCTTATGTTTTGAGGTGTGAGGATGTTGCAGTTCATTGAGCCATCTAAACTGAGGTGCCATCACACTTCTGGCAAGAAAGCAAGGGAATGAATGACGGGGAATGTTTCCTCTTGTTTGGATCACTTTCCCTCAGTAGAAGATGGATAGTATTTAAAAGAAAACAAAAAAATGTATTTAGCAATATGCAGTAGACCTGCCAGCTGGAATCCATTTAATGCATCTTAATTTAATTTTTTTTTTCACAGTAAATGTAGTATCCTCCTTGGGGAAGTGGAGAAGAATCCTTCCTCTGAAAGCCATGCTTGTCATAAGAGGCAACTAAAATGCTGGGAGCAAGGGGCTAGTAACCCCCTTCTGTATAAATTACTAAATGTAAAAAGGAGAAAAACTTTTTGTTTCTTTTTTTTTTCGGGTCACCCTGCTTCAGTGGGAGACGGCCACTGTGCAAACAGAAAACATATACGTACTATATCTTGATGTTCAGTATTTTGCTCTGCATTACCTAACTACCCATTGTTATGCTGAATTTTGCTGTATCACCTAAAGATTGAGTTCATTTTCTGTTACTGTGTGTCTTGATACACTGTGTGACTGGTTTTCAAATATTTATGCTTACTCCTGTCTTCCCAGTTAGCCATCCATTTATTAATTGCTAGATTATTGTTCCTACAGTGAAAATGTTATCGATGGAGACACGGGAGCCTTGCTGAAGCGATACTTGGAGTACATGGAAGGTGCTCGCCTCTACCTCGAGAGCGAGAACGACAAGGATAACACACTCCTGCAGATCAAGACACACTTTTGCCATTTTGTTCGCAAACTCATTGGAAGCTTCTCATGTAAGCACCTGACATCCCCATTCTGATTTGAAGACATCCTTACATCATTGTGCATTACTCTAAATCCACTTTCTTGACACTAGCTTACTTCTTTGAAATACAAATATTTAAGTACTGTAGTTACAGATGTAATTATGTATTACTGTTTGTTATTACACAAGCTAAAGTATGCCCATGGTGCCCTGTCTTTAATTTATTTATCATATTGTAGAATACAGTGGTACCTTGAGTTTCGAACTGCTCCCAACTCGAACAATTATGTATGTGTGTTTTTGTACATGCTTTTGTAAGTGCATTTTTGGGGGTCTGAAATGGACTAATCTAATTTACATTATTCCTTATGGGAACAAATTCATTTGGTATTGGTACTCGAACAGCCTTCTGGAATGAATTAAGTTTGTAACTCAAGTTACCACTGTATATTTAAATTTTAGTTGATTGTGGCTTACAGTCCTTTATCTTAATAATGAAAAAAATATAGTAAAAGAAGATGTTTTTTTATTAAGATGTTCTGCCTATATCAAGTGCAGCCTCTCCTCACTTAGAGACGTACTTGTTTACCGACAACTCGGACTTACGACTGGCTCTCTGACCAGTTTACATACCTAAATAATGTATATCAGACTTGATTTCCTCTATTCTGTTTATTACAATATACTGTACATTACTGTACAAACATTTAAAAATATACCAGAAAGGTTAAAAATGATGCAAAGATGACATTAAAACAATATCAAAGATGCCATAACACGATTCTTCAAGGAGTGCGATATACATATACTCCAGGCAGACAGAAAGACAGATAAGCAGAGACAGACAGACAGACAGACAAACAGATAAATAGAGAGAGAGACAAGACATATTTGTGTGTAACAGTGATAAACAGAGCGAGAGTTAGCTGGAGCAGTGGGAATTTATCAGATGTCGCTAGGCTGTCAACAGTATAGGGATGCCTTTCATAACACCATGCTTCAAGGTATATGCCAGGGTATCTAAAACATTGCTGGGACCTATAAATACTTTGTATATATTTCTAGACAATAGTAAATAACCCAGGCAGGTGTAAGTGTTCACCTGTCGGTGTGATTGTGACTATTTGAGCACTATTTCAGTACCTAATATTAGTGTCAGAACAAAGATTGGCTATGAAATTACAAGAACTATTATGAATTGTAATTATCAAAACATAAAAAATATATAAATTAAAATAATAATGAGGAGGGGTTTGGGATATTGGCAGTTTGGAGGGATATGTTGTGTATCTTTATATGTGTATGCTTCTAAACTGTTGTATTCTGAGCACCTCTGCAAAAACAGTGATAATGTGTGAGTGTGGTGAAAGTGTTGAATGATGATGAAAGTATTTTCTTTTTGGGGATTTTCTTTCTTTTTTTGGGTCACCCTGCCTCGGTGGGAGACGGCCGACTTGTTGAAAAAAAAATAAAATAATGAGAAAAAAAAAGATATATTGGCAACACTTCTGCAAGTGGCAGAAGTCGATGTTGCCGACAGGTGAGCATCCAGAGCCAACTTCACGGTCTTATATCTCAGTAAGTACTGACCCTAAATTTTTTTTTTAATCCTATAACATGTAGAAAAATGTGCTCTTCATTTTAAAAGAAAAAAAAAAGATTTTTTTTATTTTTTAAAATATTCAGAGCGCCACGTGAGTGAACATAGATCTACGTTTGGACAGTTTAAGGGTTAAGCCTGTAGTTGTTTTACATGATGGTAGAATTGCTGGTGTCTTTTTCTGTTTCATAAACATGCAAGATTTCAGGTACATCTTGCTATTTCTACTTACACTTAGGTCACAGTACACTTGCATGTACAAGCATATATATACACAACCCTCTGGGTTTTCTTCTATTTTCTTATTAGTTCTTGGTCTTCTTCATTTCTTTTTATCTCCATGGGGAATTGGCAAAGAATTCTTCTTCTGTAAGTCATGCGTGTTGTAAGAGGCGACTAAAATGCCAGGAGCACTAGTAACCCCTTCTCTTCTATACATTACTAAATTTAAAAAGAGAAACTATTGTTTTTCTTTTTGAGCCACCCTACTTCAGTGAGATATGGCCAGTTTGTTGAAAGAAGAAAATGATTTGTATTAGTGTCTTGAAAAATGCCATTTTGTGAAATTCTTTCTTCTTTACGACAGTGGAACAGAGACTGACGCTCATTCCAAGAAGTCTTCGAAAAGGCCTCTTTTACCTTTTTGCCTCATGGAGTGGAGTTTTTGGAGCACCATTTGGGTATAAGGTATAGTAACTTGAAGCATTTTGACTTCACCCTGAGAGTGTGGAATTTGACATAAAGCTAGGTCTCGATTATTATGAGTCCTAATAGTGAGAATTTTTATTTAGTGCGAAATTAATTAATGCTAGTTTTCCCCTAAACTCTTCAAATTGTGTACAAAAATCACATATAATTGAATAGTGTGAATTCGAATGATGAGACCACCTCAAGGGGTTCATTATTCACAGTAATCGAGACCTGACTGTATTATGTTTTGGTTGTTGATTTTCAGGGTGTGATAGAATTGGCTTGAGGTAATACTTTCAGGCTGGTAGAATGAAGGATATTGTGTTTTCTTTATAAACTTGCAGTACATGCATTTCCTCTGTATTTATTATGTGCATATGTAGGAATTTCCCACCCCTTTTGATGTACTTATTATTTAATACTCCTAACTTAATCTGGAAATAATTTCATCTCATTTTTCTTCAGTCTTTGAACTTTTTGCTTACATGTACAGTACTTCTGTTCCCTTATATAATGTGTTAGTTCTTAAGTATTCTTTAAGAATTAGGATTAGTTTACCTGAAATACACAGCATATTAGTGGCTTTTATGCCTAACAATGTTTTATTACATGTAAATGCTCAATCTGTATACTGCATAAAAAAATAAAGTACACGTATTTGAATATGAATTAGGTAACGAAAGACTGGATATCAGATTTGAGAGAGGAGAGTATGGAGGAGGTGAACGTATTCAAATATTTGGGAGTGGACGTATCAGCAGATAGGTCTATGAAAGATGAGATGAATCACGGAATTGAAGAGGGGAAAAAGGTGAGTGGTGCACAGAGGAGTCTGCGGAGACAAAGAACTTTGTCCATGGAAGCAAAGAGGGGATGTGTGAGAATATAGTTATACCAACACTCTTATATGGGTGTGATGCATGGGTGGTGAATGTTGCAACATGGAGAAGGCTGGAGGCAGTGGCGATGTCATGTCTGAGAGCAGGCAATGTGTGGTGTGAATATGATGCAGAAAATTCGTAGTTTGGAAATTACGAGGGGATGCAGGTTTATCAAAATTATTATCCAGAGAGCTGAGGAGGGGTTGTTGAGGTGGTTTGGATATGTAGAGAGGATGGAACAAAATAGAATGACTTCGAGAGTGTATAAATCTGTATTGGAGGTAAGGCGGGGTAGGGGTCAGCCTAGGGAAGGTTAGAGGGAGGGGGTAAAGGAGGTTTTGTGTGTGAGGGGTTTGGACTTCCAGCAAGCATGCATGAGCGTTAGATAGGAGCTAATGGAGACAAATGGTTTTTAGGACTTGACATGCTGTTGGAGTGTGAGCAAGGTAACATGAAGGGATTCAGGGAAACCGGCAGGCCAGACTTGAGTCTTGGAGATGGGAAGTACATGTACAGTGCCGGCACTCTGAAGGATGACTGTTAATGATGCTGCCGTTTTATAACTGTAGTGTAAGCATGCCTCTGGCAAGACAGTGATGGAGTGAATAGTGATGAAAGTTTTTCATTTTCAAGCCATCCTGCCTTGGTGGGAAGTGGCTGATGTGTTAAAAAAAAATAATATTTTGAATTTAAATGTGTGACTTGGTTCTTGAGCTGGTCTCTTTCATGTGTAGTCTAACCTTTCAGCTTCATCAGTCTTGCATTCAGATTCAGTGTAAATATGTTAGGTAAAAGGACACAAGTGCAGCTAATGCAATATTTTATTGTTGATTGACAAAGCTCCTGGAGAGTGAAATGTTGCCACAATAAAATGCCGCATTAGTGTCCTTTTACCTAACATTGTGTCGGTAATTTTACCAGCATTATTACAGTGTAAATAGGATCAACAATGAGAAAGAATTTTAGCCTTACTGCAGAATTTATATGACTGAACGCTTTTTTTTTTTTCAATGGCCTAGTATATAAATTTTCGTCTCAAGTCATAAAAGTCAAGACAACATCCATACAAGTTTTGATATGTTTAGAAATGTTTCTAAAACCTTTGGGAGGTAGAGAAGTTGAATAAGCTAGAGGAGAGCAAAGTTCTGGCTAAAACCATTCATGAGTTTTAAGAGTAAAATATAGATTACATCATCTAGATGAAAGTTAATAGGTAGGCCCAAAATTTGCAGGCTTACCAACTGAAAATTCAAATGGTAATTAAACAGTGCAAAACTTTAATTATGCATAGTGCAGTAAGGGGTAGCTCCAGAAGTTTTGTATGTATAGGAGGGTTGGAAGAGGGATCTAGGGGATGTCACTTAAAGCAGATTTTTTTTTCTCAATGTACAGACCCTCTCCCACCGAGGCAAGGCTACCCGAAAAAGAAAAAACTTTGAAGTGTTTATTCTTTTTACATTTAGTATTTTATACAGAAGAAAGAGTTATTAAAGAATATTGTATTTATTGTATTTACTTGGGGCTTTGGGGCTAATCAAAATTATGGCAGGTACTTTAACTCCCTCCCCTTCTCTTCCCTTCTTGGTGCTGCCCCTGAATACATTATTAAAGAATGCAATTTTCATGTAATCCTTCACCAATCCTGATGTTAGTGGTATGGTATTGATTTAAGCCATTCTCTTTCTCCTTTTAGAGTCCAGATTCTGGAAATCGTCAACCGTCTGAATTTGAACTGTGCGCTCTGCATGCTTCAAGTGCTGTGCTCTGCTGTGGTCCTTCATTTGATCCACAGCTCCTGGCTGATGATGGCCACATATACCAGTGGCTTGATGCCCTCCTTGGCTCCCATGATGAAAAGGTATCTATTGTCTTTTCTCTTATTTTGGACTGTAAGTTACGCATGTACATAGATCTCACAAGTTATTCTTTTTATAGGATAATAGCAACACTTAGGGTAATAGCAAAACTTAGGGTAGATAGGAATCATAAAAATGTACATAGTGTTAAAGTTGCCCAAAACAAGTAATTAAGTTTGATTGTATCTTAAAAAATAACGGTAAGATTTTAGTTTCGTATTTTTCTGTTTTGTAAATAATTAATGGCTGTTATAATTTTGAAACATTGAACTTCCCTTATCTGGATCCTCTGGACTGGAAATGCAAATACAACAACAAATTTGATCTTGATATAGTCGCTTGTTTTTCTCGCTGCAAATCCAGCTTTACATTCACAGAGAAAACTGTTAAAGAAAAAATAATCTTCAATAAAAATAGGGTTGGAGAGAGGATGTGAAGGAAGTTTTAGGTGGTAATGTCTTGAGCGCCCAGCAGGCATGTGCGAGCTTGCTTCATCAGGCTGAGGGAAGACAAATGGTTTTAAGGATTTTAAATGTTGCAGTGTAACATTTATGAGGGGAATCAGGGATAAACCTCTTAGCCAGACTTGATTCCAGGAGGTGGGGATGTTATAGTTATGAGGGGGTCATTTGAATTGTCATGTCTGCATGCTTCTGGCAAGACGGCTATTTAATGAATGATGGTGAATGTATCTTTTTTATGGAATCATCCTACCTTAGTGGAAGATGTGTAATGTGGTAAAAAATTATTGAAGTAGAGAAACATTTAATTTGCACAATACTTTTTTCTTTTAAATTACTAAATTTAAAAAGAAAAACTTGGTGGGATACAGCCGGTGTGTTAAAAAAATAAATATACTAATGACGAAGGATTGCCACGTACCATGACCACTTTTTCTCATAGTTTGCAGAAAAAGGAAAAAAAATTCTTAACTGACTTTCAAAATCATAATGAAATGATTGCAAACAAATCATGGAATTTCTTTGAAAATCAGCCATTCACTGTTATTGGGGTATTGTCTTCCTCCCTAGAAGGGATGGCAAAGACTGCAAAATTCCGGGGGCATCACGTGGTTTGAACCCATAGCAAGGGAGTCCTAAAACTCACAGGCCAGTGTGTTAACACACTGACCTGTGAGTTTTACAACTTGCTTGCCTTGGGTTCAAACCTCACCTGTTTCCTGATTTAATTTTTTAAGTTTTATTTTATTTTATTATTATTAAAATTTGATTATATATATGTTATTTTTTGAGACAGTAGCTGTTTCCCACAAAGATAAGATAACCCAAAGAAGGAAAATTCAATCATCATCGCTCATTCCTTAGATATCGTATCAGAAATCTTCAGACACTGTAATTTAAATTACCCACTGAGTTGCAACATCCTGACACTTCCCTGGGAGTGCAGGCTCTGTACTAACCACCTCTGTAACTCACATGTATCAAATTAATTTCTGTTATTTGAATTAGTAAGATTTTGCTATGGCCTAGAATTAGACAAAAATAAAAAAGCTTGCTTGATCGGACTAATAACTCAAACAGAAGATTGTTGTACCTAAATTGATCTGGATAAGTGGGAGTTCACCCTGTTGTATAAATTTTGGAGACTAGTTTTGTACATAGATAGGTGCAGGATTTAAGGTAATAATTATCTTTGTAGCAAGGGTTCATTGAACAACTATATGAATAATGTTTAGTGCCAATAACTTGCATTTTCCTAGAATTTAGGACTGTTGTTTGCTTTTGCCCTGGTAAAGATGCGAATCTACTTTTCTGCCTCTTTTATTAAAGTTATCCTCATTTTTCTAAATCATTGTTATGTGGATCACTTGTTAGCAGAAATCTTTATTTGTTAACAGGCTGTCGTGTATTAAATGCCTTATGCCTTGTCTTGGCTAAAATTTATATTTAATTTGTGTATTTTCTGTTAATGTTTAAAGGAAAATTACTCATATTTTTGTTATTCATTGCTTGTGGTTTTCATGTACAGTGGAACCTCAGTCTTTGAACTTAATTGGTTCCTAGGTGGTGGTTGAACCATGAAAAGTTTGATGTCTGAAACAGTATTTCCCAGGCTTTAATTATCAGCCTCAGACACTGGAGGATGTTGAACTGACTCTTCCAAAAGTCTCTGAGAATTAGGTCAGTGTCACAGGTCACATTAAAACACTTTTGAAACAGATTTCCTGTAAATGTTTTTTTACAACTGAATTTTAAACAAGCCGGCATGTTCAGACTCCAGAAAAATGTTCAGATACCAGGTCACTTTTTTTCTGAACAAAATTGTTCTTACTCCAGTTGGTTCCAGGTCTTACAAAGTTGATGGTGGACACAAGTTGATAATTACAGATCCAAACATTTTGTTTTTGAATTCAGCATTGCATGATTTTAGAAAACCTCCACCTGTAATATAGAGTTTGCAAGTTGCTTATAGGTTGTAAAGCATATTAAGATGATATTTGGTATTTATGATATACAGCAGTAGTCCCCACCCTTTTGGCATGAAAGGGCCAATTTGAAAAGCCAAGTTTAAAGGAGGGCCACAATTATCAGTTGTATTCACATCAGTCATGTGCACCAGAAGTAAAAGGTGGTTGTTAGAGGAGGCAATAAGGTTTTAATGTAAATTGGCTTTAAATATTTTGTAATTGTTGACACTGTACAATGTGGAATCAGTATAAAAGTGAATTCATAATCTCATGTAAGGGCTGCATCCATTTCTTAGAAGGACCACATGTGGCCCTCAAGCCACAGGTTGGGGACCCCTCATATACAGTGATCATATACTGGCAAGTCTGCATACTATATATCCCAGACTGTCAATCATAGTACTGTTACAGCCTTTCTTGATGAAAGGAAGTGGAGCAAACCCTCCCATTCCTCGGATCAAATCCGATTGCTTCTCAGTCCCCAGGCATTCCATGACCCAAATGGGTTTAGAGCTACCCTGTGAATATTCAGCAATTGTTAAATTTTATTGGGGGCTTCATGAAGCACAGAATCCTCCTCTGCCCAATACTGGTTGTTTGTCCTTGTTCTGCTTCTTTAATGGAATTTGTGTTAATATGAGAACAACTTCACCATTTTAGAAAATAACTGGGGTATCTAAACTGTTTAAGGCAGAAATGTAAATTCGATGAAAGTTCCTTACATAAATTTGATGAAAGTGTCCAGTGTGAATTATATGAAAGTGTCCTAAATTCTGGCACAATCTGGGCTATTGTTATTGGATATTATTCCTTATAATAATTCATTCAACCCTGAACAAAAATGATTTTTCGTATTTAAGAATAAAGTAAGATATAGCCTCTCCACACTTAATGACGGAGTTCTGTTCCTAATACCACATTGGTAAACACATTCGTCACTAAGCAAGGATCATACTATAATGGTAGTGGGTTTGTGTCAATCATCTTTGATATTGTTTTAATGTCACCTTTACACCATTTATAACATTTCTGATATATTTTCAAATGTTTATACAGTAGTGTACTGTATATTAAAATGAACAGAATAGAGGAAATTAGCTCTAATATACATTATTTAGGTATGAATACTGGTCAGAGAGCCCATCGTAAGCCCAAGTCGTCGGTAAACGAGTACGTTGCTAAGTGAGGAGAGGCTGTGTATGGCTATTTAATATTACTTGTGTTGATTCACTTTTAAATGGCACCATTAATAAATAATTTTAAGGTTTTGAACATTTAAATTGCAGTAATTAAAGAAGGCTCAAACCTTGCATTTTTTTAGTAAGTCATTTTTTTTTTCTTAATATCCTTTGAAGTGGCTAAATATTTTAACATTTAGTGCATTCACATAGATGTAATTGTACATTTCTTTGTAATTATTAAATATAGATTTTCTGGCCTAAGTTATCATTAGAATTAGCATTTGCAATTGCATAACATTGTCTGTAGATGCTTTTTTGAAGTAGACATTAACCCAGCTAATGGTGATGCAGTAATAACTGTTAATTAACAGTAGTATTAACATTTAAATGCTAACAGTGTGAAATGCTTATAAAACAGTAATCTGAAGAGGCATTTATACATAAAACTTAATACACAAAACAGTACCTGTTGGTCCACTTTGACATTCCATTGTAAATGAGGTCTTAGTGAGACGAAAACTCATGTGTATTGTCTTGTGAGTGGACTCTGTGTATGAAGCCAATGTGAGTCTTTGTAAGTGCCTGTCAATGGCTGCATGTCTCTTATATTTTCACCAATTTTTCTTGCTGACTTCTCTTCTCTTTTTCTCTCCCTTGCATATGCGCTCACTAGATAAAGACTAAGGTAAGTGGGAGCGTGTTGGTGTTCTCTCATGCTCTTTCCTGTATAAAAACAATATAACAACTCACAAAGTCAGATAGATGAGCATTGTGCATTTTGCATGATACTTGCAGACTACTTTAAAACCCCAGAAACATCTTACTGATATTGTGTGGGATTTCAGTTCTAAAAAGCTTTTTGCCATGGTAATTGCTTCCTACTGTGGCTGGGTGAGATTATATTTTTAGCTTTTTATGTGTTTTTTTTTCTGTTAAATTTAATCAAGGCAGTTTTATTGAAAACTTTGAAGATACATGGCTATAATACTGTATATCACAGAATATAATTTAGAAATTTATTATTGAGCACACAGTATATGTCAACTGCAGTTTTATTCGCTGTTTTACAGTATATACTTTCTTTTATATGTTTTTGCTTAGGATTATTTACCAAGGAATGTTGGCAACACCTGTGGAAAAGAATTTTTCCTCGGCAAGTCGTGCGTCTTGTAAGAGGCCACTAAAATGCTGGGAGCAAGGGGCTAGTAACTTCTTCTTCTGTATACATTACTAAATGTAAAAAGAAAAACATTGGTTTTTCTTTATAGGTCACCCTGCTTCAGTGGGAGACAGCCGGTGTGCTAAAAAAAAAAAATTGACAACACCTTTCAGAAGATTCTTTAACATGTCATCACCAGCATACAACAAGTCTCTAGTATCATTAATTATTAATGCTGTGGAATCATGCCTTAATCAGCTAGATGTTTTTTTTCAATTTGGAAATACAATACAATGATAAAACACAGAGAGCGCAGGATCACCATTTCTTATATTACTGGGGTTTTACTGTTACTGCAATTTTACTCTTAATAGTGAATAGGTTTGCTCATTAATTTGGTAGTTTTTTCACTAGTATCTTGTGCTTGATAGGTGTGAAAAATTAGCTGTAGCAAACATAGTAATTATGATTTGCAAGACTATATTCTTAAGAGTTAGTTTTTTAAGTGAGCCAAGTTAGACTTAAGTGAATGCAGGAGAGGTTTTATTAGTACATATGTATAGAAGTCTCCAAGAATTCTTCCTCCATAAGCTATGCGTGTCGTAAGAGGCGACTAAAATGCCGGGAGCAAGGGGCTAGTAACCCCTTCTCCTGTATATATTACTAAATTTAAAAGGTGAAACTTTAGTTTTTCCTTTTGGGCCACCCCCACCTCAGTGGGATATGGCGGGTGCGTTGAAAGAAGAAAGATGTATAGAGCTCTCTCTGAAACAACATGTATCTAAACTTTTTTTTTTTAGAAAGATGCACAGGTTCCTTAGTGTGCATTATAATACTTATACACAGAGAATTGTATGGTTAGATTTAATACTTGATATATAGAGGATACTGGATAGAATGCTATTATGAGACTGCATTTGTGGAAGATAATTCAAAAATATTAAAGAATTTTGATGACAAACTGTACAAGTTCAGTTAGATAAGTGCAGGTTACAGATGAGGTCGATTATTGTCAGATTCATGGGGAAGCACTAAACATGTAGAGGCATACAGCACCTTGGACATTGAAGGCAGTTTGGTTTGATAGTGCATGTTTGGCAGACTCATATTTTCTGATAAAATTAAGTCAGTTGTGGATTTTGTCTCCAAATTTGATAAGTTTACACAGTAAAGATAAAACTATTATTATAGCATATATTTTTGTATCAGATGCATAACTTTTTGTACTGTGTAGTTGTTTGGTACATTTGTGAGGAAACAGTTTTGGGGTAAAATTGGAAAAAATTAAGTTTTAAAGATGCTGGTAATTGTGAGCCTCTTGAAGAGATCATTAATCAGGGAAAACAAGCTCTTACTGAGCAAGAGTATTTCCTGTGTTATTCTTAGTTGTTAAATGAAGATATGTTCATATGTTGTGTATCTTTATACATATATGCCTCTAAACTGTTGTATTCTGAGCACCTCTGCAAAAACAGATTATGTGTGAGTGAGGTGAAAGTGTTGAATGATGATGAAAGTATTTTCTTTTTGGGGATTTTCTTTCTTTTTGGGTCACCCTGCCTCGGTGGGAGATGGCCGACTCGTTAAAAAAAAAGAAAAGTTCGTTATCATGATGACAATGGTATTCAATACCCACAAGTTGATACCTGACTGTTGCATGTGTGTCTTACAGTAGGGCCATGCTTATACAGCAGGTTAGGTTCCGGGCTACTGATGTAAAGCGAAAATTGCTGTAGGGTGAAATTTTCAAATGCATATAAAATCCTCATAACATGTTTACACTATCATACATTAAGTGAGCAGTATAGCCAGGTCTAAAAAAATGCATGTACAGTACACACATTACTTACCTTAAAATATTTTCTTCTTTAGTTTATAGTGAGTATCACTAATCATTGAATATGTACTCGAGAGATACAAAGGTGCTATGTTATGTATTGAGTAAAAAACCAATATCCTGAGAAAAAGTACTGAGTTAAGAGTACAAAGAGTACATATGGGGAATGTTACATTAGGACATAAGGAGAATATTACAGGTTACAGATGCATAATTATAGCAGTCTGGAAGTTTTCTGTAGGAGTTTTGTAGTTCATAGAAAATGTTGAGGAGGAAAAAGCCTTCCAAAGGCATTGACTGGCAGTTAGGTACTGTAATGAATGCAGGTAGGTACTGTAATGAATGCGGGTAGGTACTATGAGTCCAGGTAGGAAATGTAAAGTGCAGGTATGTACTGTAACGAGTGCAGGTAGGTACTGTAATGAGTGCAGGTAGGTACTGTAATGAGTGCAGGTAGGTACTGTAATGAGTGCAGGTAAGTACCATAATGAGTGCAGGTAGGTACTGTAATGACTGCATTAACATGTATTTTTCCAGATTTATTCCTTGTATATAATTTTGATGCTTCATTAAACTTGCTCTGCATGTACATTAATTTTTGTTGACCATCATCCACAGTAAAGTCAAATTTGTAAGCATGCTGTGTGTAACATTATTTTATATTGATGATTATGATGTGGTTTATGGAATACATTTGCACATGTCATGAAGGAGTGTTACTGTGTCTTCTCACTTGTGTACAGCACTGTCTTAAAGGTGAGTGCTTATTTATTGTACTTTATTTGTTTATAAGGGAGCAAGGGGCTAGTAAGCCTTTCACCTGTACACTACTAAATGTAAAAAGAAGAAAAACTTTTGTTTCTTCTTTTTCGGGTCACCCTGCCTTGGTGGGAGACGACCAGCATGTTGAAGATAAAAAATTATTCCACGTTTTCTGTGTATAGGCGGGCCCCATTTATGCAGCAGGCTAGGTTCTGGGCTACTGCTCTAAAGTGAAAATCACTATAAAGTGAAACATAGTCTTTTTTCACTTTCAGATGAATATAAAAGCCTGATAACATGTTTACACTGTCATATATTAAGTGAGGAATAGAGTTAGACCTCAAAATGCATATACAGTACACACATTACTTAAAATATTTTTGTCCTTAGCATCTAGTGCATGGTGAATATATTTATTGTAGGAAGCCTGAATAAATGAAGAATGGGCATAATTGAAAGCTGCTGTATTAGCAAAACACTGTAAAGCGAAGTGCTGTAACGCAGGACCATCTTGTATTTGATAAGCGCCCCTTTATACGTGAAATGTTTTACCAATAAAGCATTTTCTGCCTTCAGTGTTGTCATGATACTATTAACTAATTTATGCTAAATGTGCCACTAGGATGCTTGAGGTTAGGTTAGGTAAGGTTTGTCAGGAAACAGGACAAGTGTTTCCTGATGCAAGTCATCTGACCGAGGCCTTCCTCTGGCTTACCCCTCCACCCCTTTTTAAAAATTATGGTAATATTTATAAACATTGTAGGTAGTAGGTTGGTAGACAGCAACCGCCCAGGGAGGTACTACCGTCCTGCCAAGTGAGTGTAAAACGAAAGCCTGTAATTGTTTTTCATGATGGTAGGATTGCTGGTGTCCTTTTTTCTGTCTCATGAACATGCAAGATTTCAGGTACGTCTTGCTACTTCTGCTTACACTTAGGTCACACTACACATACATGTACAAGCATATGTATACACACCCCTCTGGGTTTTCTTCTATTTTCTTACTAGCTCTTGTTCTTGTTTATTTCCTCTTATCTCCATGGGGAAGTGGAACAGAATTCTTCCTCCGTAAGCTATGCGTGTTGTAAGAGGCGACTAAAATGCCAGGAGCAAGGGGCTAGTAACCCCTTCTCCTGTATATATTACTAAATGTGAAAGGAGAAACTTTTGTTTTTCCTTTTGGGCCACCCCGCCTCGGTGGGATACGGCTGGTGTGTTGAAAGAAAGAAAGATTTATAAACATTTAGTTATTCTTGAATTTTGTGCCTACATGTAGTAAACTGCTAAAGTGATATTTGAAGAATTGCTATTAGCACAGCAAAATTTTTATTATTTATTTTTCTAAAAGTATGAGATTAGACTCTGTACTGGATATTGCAGAGGACATACCATGTATGTGTGTGTGATCAGGTACTGTGCAGTGTGAGCTATATGTGTTGTTAGGTTAAAACATATTGGTTGTTAGTGGGGTCACCTGTACACCAGTCATTAATACTTTACTTCCTAACATATAGATAAAATTAAACTCTTAGTACAGGAGGGTTCTGCTTGTGCAGCAGGTTAGGTTCTGGGCTACTGCTGTACAGGAGGGTCCTGCTTATACATCAGGTTAGGTTCTGGTCTACTGCTGTGCAGGAGGGTCCTGCTTATACAGCAGGTTAGATTCTTGGCTACTGCTGTAAAGCAAAAATAGCTGTAAAGTGAAACTGAGTGCCAATAAGTTACCGTAAAAAACAGATCTGATGATGGAGAGACTAAACGGGTAGTTTACACAATCATTAAACACTTAAGTAGTCTTGGTTTACAGGTAAATAGTAAGTTAACAAAAGAGAAAAATTCCAAAGATGATGATAATCTTTATTTCTACAAGTACTATATGTACAATGTATACAGGCCTATGAGGAAATTGTATGGTGATACTGACTTGA